TAACATTTGTGCTGCTGGACTGGCAAATAGATATCATCGAAGTCCAGAGGCTTATTTGTTGGCACACACATCTCGCAAGTGAGAGGATCTTTGGTTCAAATCCCACGCAGGTCAGATCAAACCTTTTGGCAGGCTTCCATACTTCAGACACACACATACTTCTGTTTACCCAACAGTAAGTGGGAACCCGTTGTAAATTGGTGGATCATTTTCTGGTGTTGATAATTGCTTTAAAAATCAATGGGGAGGGGAATAAATGAAGTGATGGAAGGAGAAATGAAGGAACGAAAGGGGTCACGATGCTATACTGAGAGTATTGGGGACATACAGGAAAACACAATAGTCACCAGAATGATACCAGGGCTTAAGGGATCAAATTACGAGGACAGATTGCTTAAACTTGGTCTCTGTTCGCTTGAGGTGAGAAGGTTGAGGGGTGATCTAATTGAGATGTGTACAATAATAAAGCAATTCGATAGTGTGGATACAGATAAACGATTGGCTCTGTTGAGGGAATCCAACCACTCTCATCCAGAACAAGGGTGGAAACCGTCTTAAAATTAGATCCAGGTCATTCAGCAGTGAAAACAGGATTCAGTATTTTACTGAAAGGGGAGTGGCAATCAGGAAAGTTCTCCATCAAATACACACTAATAATAGTAATAATCCTTGCATTTGATATAGTGCTTTTCACGTTGGGAGGACGTCTCAAAGCGCCTCACAGAACACAATGTAAAGTGAATTGACTGTATATTTGTGGGCGAACTCGGCAGCCAATTGCGCACAGCAATGTCACACAAACAATCGTTGATTGAAAATGACCAATTTCTTTTTGTTTTTGGTTTTAGAGGGATTATTATTAGGCTCTGTGTGGAGTAAGGAAACTTGCCCAAGGTTTCGCCCTCTGCCGGGAATTAAACTCAGGTCTCTCGCTTGCAAAGCGAGTGCTCTAACCACTGAATTACAGGACTCTAAACTGAGATAATTGGAGAAAAAGAGAGTGAGAGAGAGGCTGTGTGTCCGTGTGTGTGTGTATTGGCTCACGTTTGAATGTGAGAGAGTGAGGCTGTGTGTGTGAGAGAGAAAGGGAGAGGCTGTGTGTGAGCGAGAGAAAGAGAGAGAGGCTGTGAGTGAGAGAGAGGGAGAGGCTGTGTGTGTGAAAGGGAGAGGGTCTGTGCTTGTATGTCAGAGAGAGAAGGACTGTACATATACATTAGAATATACAGCACAGAAACAGGCCATTCGGCCCAAGTGGTCTACAAGGTTCCATTTACAGAGCGCCTTTCACGTCGGGAGGACGTCCCAAGGAGCTGGACAGTTGGGTCAGGACCCGAGAAGTGGGGGAAATGGTAAGGGTGATGGGAGGGAAGGGAGGGAGCGAGGAGGGCGTAGAGGGTCGAGAGGGGAGCTGAAGGCACGGTTGAAGAGAAACCATGCCGGTGTTTATGCTCCACGTGAGCCTCCTCCTGCCCTTCCTCAACTAAGTCTTCAAGCAGAACCTTCTGTTTCTTTCTCCCTCATGTACCTCTCCAGCTTCCCCTTAAATATATTAAGCTATTTGCCTCCACAACTCCTTGTGGCAGCATGTTCCACATTCCCACGACTCTCTGTGTGAAGAAATTTCTTCTAATTTCACTATTTGATTTATTTGTGGCTATTTTATATTGATGGCCCCTGGTTTTGGTCTCCCACACAAGTGGAAACATCTTCCCTATGTCTGCCCTATCCAAACCTCTGATCATTTTAAAGATCTCTCTCAGGTCACCCCTTACTCTCCTCTTTTCAAGAGAAGAGTCCAAGCACGTTCAGCCTTTCCCGGTCGCTATAACCTCTCAGTTATGCGATCATCCTTGTAAATCTCCTTTGCACCCTCTCCAGTGTCTCTACATCAGAACAGCACACTGCATTCTAAGTGTGGTCTAACCAAGTTTTTATAGAGGTTTACAATAACTTCCCTGCATTTCATTTCTATCCCTCTAGAAATAAACCCCAATGCCTGGTTTGCTTTTATTTATGGCCTTATTAACCTGCGTTGCTACCTTTCTTGAATTGTGTATTTGCACCCGAGGTCCCGTTGTTCCTCTGATCCATTTAGATTTTTATTTTCCAGGATATATGGGACTTCTTTATTCTTTCAACCAAAATGTACCACCTCACACTTTTCTGCATTGAAATGTATTTGCCACTTAAATGCCCATTCAGCAAGTTTATTGATGTCTCGCTATAATTTGTTGCAGTTCTTCCTCTGTATTAACTGCTCCCCCCAATTTGATGTCATCCGCAAATTTTGAAACTGTGCTGCTGATTCCCGAGTCCAAAGCATCAATGTATATTGTGAACAACAGTGGTCCCAATACAGATCCTTGTTGAACACCGCTGCCCACCCCCTGCCAGTCTGAGGAGCTACTCTGTACCCCTACTCTCTGCTTTCTCTTTTGCCGCGAGTTTGCTATCCATTCTATTATCCCCCTGACTCCACATGCTCGGATATTATTCATTAGTCTATTATTTGTTGCCTTATCAAACGCCTTTTCGAAACCTAAACATATTACATCTACCATATTACCCTTATCTACTGTTCCTGTTACCCCTTCAAAGTATTCAATGTGGTTGGTCAAGAGAGATCTTACTTTTTGAAGTCCGTGCGGACTATCCTTTATTAAGTTTTCCGTTTCTAGCTGTTTTTCTATTATCTCCTTCAGTAAGGATTCCATTATCTTTCCTACCGCCCATGGTAAGCTGACAAGTCTATGGTTCCCTGGGCGTGTTCTATCTTCCTTTTTAAATATAAGTTTAACATTAGTTGTCCTCCAGTCCTCTGGCACTGCTCTCTTCTAATGAGTTATTATATATTTGTGTGCTTGTGTGTGTGAGAGGTAGGAACTGTGAGTGTGTGTGTGCGTTTGTGCGAGAGAGAGAGAGAGGCTGTGTATGTGTGTGTGAGAGAGAGGCTGTTTATGTGTGTGTGAGAGAGAGAGAGGCTGTGTATGTGTGTGTGAGAGAGTGAGATGCTGTGTATGTGTATATGCGTGTTAGAGAGAGGCTGTTTGTGTGCGTGAGAGAGACAGAAAGAGAGAGAGAGATGCTGTGTGTATCATAAGAGCGGCTGTTTGTGTGTGAGAGAGATGCTGTGTATGTGTGTGTGAGAGAGAGATGCTGTGTATGTGTGTGTGAGAGAGAGAGAGGCTGTGTATGTGTGTGTGAGAGAGAAAGAGGTGTGTATGTGTGTGTGAGAGAGTGAGATGCTGTGTATGTGTATATGCGTGTTAGAGAGAGGCTGTTTGTGTGCGTGAGAGAGACAGAAAGAGAGAGAGAGATGCTGTGTGTATCATAAGAGCGGCTGTTTGTGTGTGAGAGAGATGCTGTGTATGTGTGTGTGAGAGAGAGAGCGAGAGAGAAAGTTGTGGTACAGATCAGCCATGATCTTATAGAATAGCAGAACCGGCGTTGCATAAGATCATGGTTGATCTCGCTGATGGCTGATTCTGATATCCCTCTGCAGCTCGTGTCCTCTCACGCACCAGTCTCCGTGACCATATCACTCCCACACTCGCCCGTCTGCACTGGCTCCCCATCCCTCAGAGGATCGAGTTCAAGATCCTAGTCCTCACTTTCAAGGCCATCCATGGTCTAAACCCCTCTGACTTCTCTGACCTGCTGACTCCCTACCAACCTGCCCGCTCCCTCCGTTCAGCGGGCTCTGGCCTGCTGCATGTCTCGCGCCCGACCCACCCTACCCGCTCTCAGCCTCCTTCAAGGCCGGTTTCAAGACCCTCATCTTCGATCGTGCCTTCAGTCACTCTTCCACCTCTCTGCCTTCCCTCCCCAGTACCCCACACCTCCCCCCTGCTCGGGTCCTGACTGTCTTCATGAAAACAGGAAACCGCATGCTCTTTCCTGTCTGCAGTTCGTGCAATCAATAGGCAGTCACCTCATATGGCCCTATATCAAATGCAAGGATCATTAATATTATTATTATTTTTGCAAGGCTTTTGACCGAGTGCCTCACAATGAAACTGGAGGCCATGGGATTCTCAGGCCAAATCCTCAATTTTATTTCCCGGTGTTTTTCAACTAGGACTACTCTACCCATCAGGGCTGTGGCTGTAGGGTTAATATCAATTAACCCTTTTATATAGATAGAAAAGCATTTGATATAGATCTTATCACATCTTTGAGACATTTCAAAGGGCTCCACAGAAAGAATGTAAAGTGAATTTATTGTGTATTTTGTGAGGCAAATGCAGCAGCCAATTGTACACAGCAATGTTCCACAAACAGTCGTGGATTGAATGATCAAATTATTGTCATTGTTCACAGAAGGGATTGTTAATCGCGGAAAGTGATCTAACAACTGTTTTCCGATTTACTGATCGTTAAACAGAGATGGGTGTGAAGAGGAAGGAAACTTTTCACTCCACTCAGGGATCGAACCACGGTCCTCTCGCTCATGGGGGCGAGTGCTGTCCCCACAAAGCTACAGGACTCAACAACAGGATCTGAGTGGGAAGAGTCCCTCCACCAGAGACTGGACTGTTCCTCCCAGTACTGCTGAGCCAGGCTGGGCAGTGACTGCGGCCACATCTGGCTCCGCAACCGGGGCGTCAGAGAGAGACAGAGACAGGTACCGAGTGAAAGAAGGGGAGGATAGGGAGAGGGAGGAGAGGGAGAGGGAGGAGAGAGAGAGGCAGAGAGAGAGGGAGAGAGAGAGGTGGAGAGAGAGAGAAGGAGAGAGGTGAAGAGAGAGAGAGAGAGAGAGAGAGGGGGAGGAGTGGGAGAGGCAGAGAGAGAGAGGTGGAGAGAGAGAGAGGCGGAGAGATAGAGAGAAGGGATCAGAGGGAGAGGCGGAGAGGGAGAGGCAGAGAGATGGAGGAGAGCAAGAGGCGGAGAGAGAGAGAGGCGGAGAGGGAAAGGCGGAGAGGCGGAGTGTGAGAGAGAGGGAAAGAGGGAGAGGCGGAGAGAGAGAGAGGTGGAGGGAGAGAGAGCGAGAGCGAGGCGCAGAGATAGAGACAGACTCACAGCAAGAGAGACACAGACAGAGACACAGAGTGGATATGAAACCCTTCACCAAAGGGGACAGAGTGACGGTTGGAGGAGGAGGAGAAGCGCGGACATGGCGGCGGCGGCAGTGAGAAGTTGAGCAGTTGGGGAGGGAGCGGCCCCGAGAGGCGGGACAACTCGGCGCTGATGGCGGATCGGGTCAGTGAGACGGAGTGTGAGAGCGTGTGGGTGTGTGAGCGCGTGTGGGTCTCAGTCTCTCTCTCTCGGTCTCTCACACACATTCCGAGTGATCAGATAATTAATAAAACCGTGAAAGTCAATCTCTCTCTGTGTTTCTCTGATCAGTTCGCGCTCACTCAGGGCCCGGATCAGCGCAGACGTCCTGCCGCTGGATGTGGACAAGACGGAAGCCATACTCCTCGGCTCCCGTCACCGCCTTCACTCCTGCGGATCTGAGCTCCTCAACCTCCCCGGACTCTCCCTCAGACTCCCCGAACCAGTGCCCAACCCCGGGGTCCGGCTCGACCCCCACCGTCCTTCCTCCCCCACATCCGGTCCCCCACCAGGACCACCTTCCTCCACCTTCGCCACATTGCGCGCCTCCGACCGTCCCGGACCCCGACTGCAGCCGAAACCCTCGGGCACGTGTTTGTCACCTCCCGCCCGGATTCCTCCAACCCACTCCTCGCCGGTCTCCCCCGCGCCACCATTCACAAGATCAGCTCATTCAGACTCTGCCGCCCGCAGACTGACCCCAACCAAACTCCGTCCCCACCTCTCACCAGCTCTGGCCCGGGCCCCACGGGCTCATCATCACCAAACCGACCAACCTCAAGATCCTCTCACTCTCGCCCCTCACTCCCTGGCACCTCCCTCCCTCTCCAACCTCCTCAATCCATCACCCAGTCAGCGCCTACAGTTGACTGGCACCGGCCTCCTTCGCGTTGAGGGAAGCTGAGCTGTGCAGTATGTCTGTGTATGTGTGTGTGTGGTTGCCTGTGTGTCTGTTTGTGTGTGTGAGATTGTATGTGTGTATGTACATGTGTGATTTTATGTGTGTGTGTGTGTGTTTGTAAATGTGTGTACATGTCTGTACATATTATCAATGAGACCTCTATATAGACTGATATTAACAGTCTACCTGCTGCCTGTCTCTGTGTGTGTGTGTGTGAGTGTATGTATGTCATGGATTGAATAACCAAATTATTATTAAATTGAAGGTTTATTAACCCTGGAAAGTGATCTAACACCTGGGTTCCTACTGACTCAGCCCCGAGGCTTTGGAACGCTATCCCCCAGTGCCTTCGCCGCCTCCTCCCTTTCCTCCTTCAAGGCCGGTCTGAAGACCTTTCTCTTTGACCGTGCCTTCAGCTCCCCTCTCGACTCTCTACCCACTCCTCGCTCCTTCCCTTCCCTCCCCTCACCCTGACCATTTCCCCAATGCTCGGATCCTGACCCAACTGTACAGCGCCTTGGGATATCCTCCTAACGTGAAAGGCACTCTACAAATGGAATCTTGTTGTTGTTGTTGTTAATGCCAGGTAAACAGAGGAGTGATGTGAAATAAGGAAACTTGCCCAACTTTTCACCATGTTCAGGGATAAAACCAGGGTCCTCTTGTGAGGCGAGTGCAGTAATCAATAAGCTACAGGACTCCACAACAGGAGCTGAGTGGGAAGAGTCCCTGTCCCAGGGTCTGGTCTGTTCCTCCCAGTCCTGCTGAGCCAGGCTGGGCCGCTCTGTGGCAGACAGTGACTGTGGGCTCAGCCTGGCTCAGGAACCGGGGGGACACAGAGAGAGAGGAAGATACAGAGAGATGCACAGAGAGAAACAGAGAATGGCAGAGAGAAACACACAGAGAGACAGAGAGAGGCAGCAACAGAGACCTTGAGTGACAGAGACTAAGAGAGAGACAGAGATACCGAGCAACACAGTTAGAGAAAGAGTTACAGAAATAAAGGGATATAGAGAGAGACAGAGAGAGAGAGAGAGAGAGAGACATCCATATAGCTTGATATTGACAGTGACACCTCTGTATCGTGTGATATTAACAATGTCACCTCTCTATTGTCCGATATTAACAGTGACAACTCCATATAGACTGTCCTGCCATGTGACACTGCAGTCCGGAGTCTCCTGTATCTGCTCCTCATTCTGTGTCATGTCTCACATCTCATCACAGCCAATCCTGACATCACAGCCTCACACGTCACACAGAGAGATTGTACATCCGTCCATTTTATTGTGATACCAACACAACACAAAACAAAATGATATTTGTAACAGCGCCATTCACGTCAGGACATCATCAGTTTAGAAGGACGAGGGTGATCTAATTGAGGATGTTTAAACAATAAAGACATTCGATAGTGTAGATACAGAGAAACTTGGTCCCTTGTTGGGGGGAAGTCCAGAACAAGGGGGGCATTATCTTAATATTAGAGCCGGGACATTTAGGGGTGAAATTAGGGGCAGTTTTACACCCAAAGGCCAATGGGAACCTGGAATTCTCTCCCCCAAAAGGCTGTGGATTATGGTTGGATCCATTCACACTGTCCAGACGGAGGTGGGGAGATGTTTGTCAGGTCGGGGTGTTAAGGGATACGGGGCAAAGGCCGGTAACTGGGGTTGAGGCACAGATCAGCCGTGATCTTATACAATGGCCGAACAGGCTCGAGGGGCTGAATGGCCTCCTCCTGTTTCTCTGTTCCTACGTCTCCTCTGCTCTCCGTCCGGTAACCCCCGTAAACTCTCTCTGATTGGTTGCCCTCACCCGTCAGGGGTTTAGTGTCAGGTCGGTGTTACGACCAACGCTGAAGTAAGGGAAGAGTTTCCCAGTGAACGTGTGGGTGAAAGTGAAGAGATGAGACATGTGGTCGGCGTCGTACAGCGACACCTGTCCTCCCACATAGTCCAGGTACACGCCCAGCACCCGGGGGCTCACACTCAGGGGGAGGGGGGTAGGAGGCGAGGTTAGAGCTTGATATTTCCCATTGACCGGCTCCACAGCCCAGACTCCAGCCTCAGGTCCATGTGTGAAATACTCCTTCCTGGGCACAGACTCTCGGGCCACCCCCACTGTCCAATATGTGCTGTTCCCCACCCCCACCTCCCAGTAATGTCTCCCTGATGTGAACCCCTCAGACCCCAGGACACTGTAATAGTTACTGAACCTCTCCGGGGTGTCAGGAACCTGCTGATCTCTGTCACCGAGTCTCACTCGGGTCCGGTCCTCAGACAGGATGAGCCGGGGTTGGGCTGTGTTAGGATCCAGAGTCAGAGAGGCTGGAGCTGAAACAGAGAATGTTGACATGTTGGAGATCGTGTGGTGTACGGTTGACATTATATTTCATTGGTTCATTCAGTGGTTTGGATTCCTGCTCTGTGTGTCTCAGGTTACACGTGGGACACCAGTAATGTCTGTCTGTGACCCGGGGCCCGGCCACCGCGGGGCTGAGGTGGGCTGAGCTCCCAATGATCTTATTTAGCATTCCCGACCGAGGGGATGAGGAGCGAGAGCAAGACATTTACTCCACATCTATTCTCAGTCACCAATCACAGGACACAGTAAGAGCCAATGTTACCTGCAGTGATGCCCTTTAACAGGAGTTTCCACTCTCTGCTCTGCAGAGACCCAATGAGGTCCCTCTCAGCCACATCAACAGACACTTTTGTGGGTTTCTTGATGTCAACACCAGACCTGGGCACAGATAGAGATTTGTTTAATTAAATTCAGGCACAATATCGATGATTCAGGTGGAGATTTTCATCATCACCACCATTGTGGAGTCCTGTTCCTTAGTGGTTGAGAGCGCTCGCCTCACAAACCAGAGGACTCTAATTCGATTCCCGGATAGGGCAAAACATTGGGTAAGTTTCCTTACTTCACACCTCAGTACTTTCCTACTTACGTAAGTAAGGATCAATTTGTTAGTCGATTGGCGGATCAATTTTCCAGGGGAAATCACCTACTGATTACACTTTTGTTCGGGACACTGCTCAGCCCAATGGGCTGCAGTGTTTCTCCCAGAAAATATACGACCAGTTAGTTCCCTTTACGGTATATTCTAATAAGTGATTTGCATCATCTCAAAGATGTGATAAAGCACTCTATCAAATGATAGGATTATTATTATCATCACAAATCCCTGTAGAATTTGAGGATAGATTGTGATACAATCTAAGGACAGATACAATGTTCTGGGCTCTCACATACGTATGTTTCTCTATGACTAATAACACTTTCTGTTACACAATTGGATTGGGAAATGTCACTAACTAGATGGACGTAAGGAAAGATTACAGACCTGTCAATGATGGATTTGATATCCTGAAGAAGAAAAATAAGGAGAGTTAGAGTCAATCTTGCACACAGCCATCGAGATGAATTTGAACAGGTATTCGGCAGCTTAATGCTGTGATTCATGATAACTTATCACTCCTCGGCAACAGGATTCAATCACAAAGTATCAGGAATGGCAAGTTAGCCATATGTATCAATCCATAAATAAGTGAGGCCGGGATAGTAACAACATGATTACGTAAATGGTCATGACAAGTTAAGTCAGTGTTGTGTTATCAGCAATCTACTGCTTTAATGAATTAAAACTAAATTTCTGATCTGTGTCACAGCAGATTGTAGTAATTCAATCATTTCGGGTCACACACAATCCTTCCCCCTCGTTTATATCTTTCTAAACATAGCTTTTTAACATCCTCACCTGTCTGTCTATCACACCAGACACACACCAGCATTAACACACCCACTGTATGTCTATCACACCAGACACACAGCCTATGCACCTTCAGGAATTCGGTGTTCTGGAGAGTCAGTCTTGTCTGGATTTCCGTTATTCTTTGGTTAATAGAAGTAATTTGCTTAGAGATGTGGCTTTTATTGTTTTCTATTTGTCCTAAGATGGCCTCCTCCTGCTGTCTGAGTTTGGTGATCAGGTCTCGCTGCTCCTCAGTCAGCAGCTGGTGACGTTTAGCAAATTCAGCGTCGATGTTCTTCCTCAGACGCTCGGCTTGTCTCTGTCACAATAAATACAACGTTAACATTGTCCTACACAAGAACAAGGGCTCGGCCTGTCAATCACGGTTGCATTGCCCGTGAACCTGGTGATATCTTTCTGAGGGGGAGGGCAGCGAGGTTTCCTGAACTGAACTGCTCCAAGGTGACCTGCCTGGCAATGAAATGCCGGTATCGAGAGAGGCCTCTGTGACGGTCTCTTGTCCAGTTCCTGAGCCAGGCCGGTCCACAGTATCCCAGGGCACTGCTGATAACGGTACAGCACAGCCTGGCTCATCGACAGGACCTGGATAGGCAGACGAGTCACTGTGGGGAGTGAGTAAACCTACTCATCACCTGTTAACCCTGCGATATCAAGCCCTAACCTGTAGGGTGGTCCTGGCTGGAAACAGCGGGAAAGCTTGTCAGAGAGCAATATCAATGGGATGGGCTCAGAGCTGATATACAAACCCCTCACCTTCACTTCCAGTTGAGCTGCTCCTTCTTCTCTCTGACAATGGGACATTGCATCCAATTGTTTCTGAAGGGTTTCCAGGGCTTTCTGCAGCTTTTGCTGCAACAAAGTGAATGCAAGTAAACAGGGAGAAGGGACAGAGTCATTTTTACTGGTTTAGGATATTCCACTTGTGTGACAGAGCTGTAATATTCTATTCCACTCGATCAACACAGTCAGATGGTGAGGCCGCTCAGAACTTCTGGATTTACCTCACATGCCGTCAGCAAGTCAGCCAACACCAGGGCTTGAACACACAACCTTCTGACCCAGAGGCCGGAGAGATTGCTGCTCAGTGACCGGCTGTACACAATATCATCTCTTTCCTAATATGTCACATAGAGTGTAACAGCACATTGACAAAGCTTCATCTGCTCGACTAAACTAGTCTAACATTTTAAAAGTTTGGTTCAGTTGATCAGATTGTGGCCTCTGAGTCATGAGGTTGTGGGACATTGTGGTGTGCAAATAGGCAGCTGTGTTCACATTCAGTTCACTTTGGAGTTGTGGAATCCTGTACCTCAGTGATTAGAGCAGTCGCGTGGCAAGCGAGACACCTGGGTTCAATTCCGAGCAGGTCAGGTTGAAACCTTGGGCAAGTTTCCTTACTCCACACACCTAATAATAATCCCTCAAAAACAAAAAACGATAATAAATTGGTGATTTTGATCCACGACTGTTTGTGGGACACTGCTCTGCGCAATTGGCTGCCGATTACTCCCACAAATATACGGTCAATTCACTTTACAGTTGAGGGATAATAATAATAATAATAATCCTTGCATTTGATAAAGCGCTTTTCACGTCGGGAGGATGTCCCAAAGCGCTTCACAGAATATACTGCAAAGTGAATTGACTGTATATTTGTGGGCGAACGCGGCAGCCAATTGCGCACAGCAATGTCACACAAACAGTCATGGATTGAAAATGACCAATTTATTATTGTTTTAGTTTTGGAGGGATTATTATTAGGCTCTGTGTGGAGTAAGGAAACTTGCCCAAGGTTTCGCCCTCTGCCTGGAATTGAACTCAGGTCTCTCACTTGCAAAGCGAGTGCTCTAACCACTGAGCTACAGGACTCCACTGGATGATCTGATTGAGATGTTTAAAATAATAAAGTTTCAATAGAGTAGTGATGGAGGAAAAAGGATGTTATGGTATGTTTAAAATATAACGTAGCTTGTGCCCTGGCCTATCGCTGTGTAAATGCTTTTAAGCAGACATAAATAAATAGGTTAGACTTGTTAATGTAGAATTCCGTTATCTGAAGGCCACAGTGTAAGGAACGGCGGGTGATAACATAGAAATGGCCTTCAAGCAAAACTGCAAGATTAGTACAGTTGAAACTAACTGAAGTAAGGAGTGTGGGAAAATATGCAGCAAACGTTATTGGTCTGTAAGGAAAAACACGGCTTCTGTGTATTTTGTGTACTCCTGTATAAAACTTAATTGTACCGATGAAGAGGATCTTTTGTCTGACAGGGAGACATTAGATCCTATTTGTATATGGCAACAATTGTGTGCTCCTGTATACAAGTAGAAATAAAAACCCATTCTTTGTTTCTTAAGTTTACTTGTATCAGATTTTTTCTCTAGCGACAGAGACAGTATTTCTTCTGCTGAATCCAGAACAAGGGGAATAATATTATAGTTAGAACTAGGCCTTCATAAGTGAAATCAGGAAGCATATTTTTCGACACAAAAGTTTGTGGAAATCTGGAACTCTCTCCCTCAAAAGTCGGTGGATTAAGACTGAGGTGGATAGATTTTTGTTAGGTCAGAGTATCAAGGGATATGGGGTAAAGGTGGGGATTTACAGTTGAGGTACAGATCAGCCATGATCTAACTGAATGGCAAACAGGCTTCAAGGCCTAAATGGTTACCTCCTGTGCCTATGTTCCTGTTCCTATGTTTACAGTGTATTCTGAAGCAATTTGAGACGTCCTCACGGCGCTCTATGCAATATCAGGATTAATATCAATTCCATACCTTGTGGAGCTCAGCAGCTTCCTGAATGGGAATGAGTGTGTGATCCTTGTGATCACGGGACATCGCACAGACCACACAGATTGCTCTTTGATCCGTTTCACAAAACAGTTTCAGCTTCTCCTCATGCTCTTCACACTGGATTCCCACCTCTTCCAGCCTCAGATTCAGGCTCAGTCTCTGAACACTCTCAACCATGTTAGACAGAGTTCTGTTGGGTCGAACACTCCTCTGGGGAATCTGCTGCCTGCACTGTGGACAGGACACACTTCCTTGTCCTGTGCCCCAACACTGTAAAATACAGTCTCTGCAGAAGTTGTGGCCACAGTCTGTAGACACCGGATCCGTGTAAAACTCCAGACAGATTGAACAAGTGGCTTCATTTCTCAGGTTCTCCAGTTCCTGTACAGACGCCATTTCACCATCAGCTCTTTGCTCTGTTTGGGACTTTCCCCCAAACCAGGAAGTGGCTGTGCGGGTGGGGATCACAGACCAACTGCTGCTTAAAGGGACAGACACCTGAAGATAAAAGGAACACAGATGTTTAGCACATTCAGGCCATTCGTAAAGTCTAGTCTCAGGATGTTTAACAATAGCATTGATAGACATTGAGCCGGCGAGAAATTGGAGGTGACCATAGGCACGGTTCAAGAGGAAAGTGATCCAGGTAAACGGGGGGCAAGGCCGAGGGACTGAGACATAGGGTCAGGTAACATACGAGGAGTTGTTTTGCAAGAGCCAAGGCTCGAGGTCTGGAAATTTATCCTTTCGACCATTTTACCCATAGGGCTTTGTCTTGCAGCGCTAATTATCATAATAATCTTTGGTTTGATATCGCGCTCCCCCCTCCCCTGAGCTCAGCCCCCCTCAGCTCACGTACCCCATGTCACCCCAACTCCCCTCAGGTCAGCTCACCTCAGCAGCTCACCTACCCTCACATCATCTCAGCTCCCCTCCCCTCACATCCCCTCAGCTCTCCCCATCCCTCACATCCCCTCACCTCAGCTCCCCTCCCCCCACATCGCCTCTCCTCCCCTCACATCCCCCTCAGCTCCCCTCCCCCTTCAGCTCATATCCCCTCATATTGAGTTGAGACGCACTGAGTTTGAAACCGCCCGCCCTCTGGCCAGCAGCCCGCTGATTGGCTGAGGTGCTCGCGTCACAATGGTATGCTCCAGCTGGGAGACACACTGCTGCTGATTGGCTGAGGCGATGCTGGTTGATACCCCTGGACCCGCCCATTCACCGCCCCATTCACAACTCGATCAGTTTTCTGGTCAATGGGTTCTCTGCTGTGTCCGCGTGTGTCTCTTTGTGTGTGTATTTAATAATAATAATCCTTGCATTTGATATAGCGCTTTTCACGTCGGGAGGACGTCCCAAAGTGCTTCACAGAATAGACTGTAAAGTGAAGTGACTGTATATTTGTGGGCGAACACGGCAGCCAATTGCGCACAGCAATGTCCCACAAACAGTCGTAGATTGAAAATGACCAATTTATTATTGTTTTGGAGGGATTATTATTAGGCTCTGTGTGTATGTCTCTTTGTGTGTTTTTGTGTGTGTATCGACTCTCTTCCTCCTCCTCGCTCCCTCCCTTCCCTCCCCTCACCCTGACCATTTCCCCCCTCCTCTCTCCCTCCCTTCCCTCCCCTCACCCTGACCATTTCCCCCCTGCTCGGGTCATGACCCAACTGTGCAGCGCCTTGGGACGTCCTCCTGACGTGAAAGGCGCTCTATAAATGGAATCTTGTTGTTGTTGTATTTGTGTGTGTATTTGTGTGTATATGGTGTCCACGTCTCAAAGACATCAAATAAGTTATTTTAGTTCAGACACTGTAAACGGATGTAAACGGCGGTCCCGATTGTTTGTTGAGACTGTTCCCTGTTCGCTGCTGTGTTTGGCAGAGCTCAATCAACAGCGCGTCAAATACATCCGACATTTCCATTGCGTTTATTGTCTCCATTCAAACCCATGTTTTAAACAATTTCCATGTTACATGACATTGCACCTCCCACGTACTCCTACCCGTGTCTGTCTCTCTCTCTCTCTGTCATTACATTGGAGACAGTGCCTTATCAGATCTTCGAGATGTCTCAAAACGCTTCACAGAATACACTATAAAGTGAATTGACTGTGTGCTCTGTGTTCGAGCTAAATTGATTGGTTATCTTTGAGAGGGATTATTGTTGGTAGACGAATTGTTAATCTGATTTCCTGTAAACTTTCTATTTTTTACGAATGGAGAATTGATTCCTAGCCCCTCAGTACAAGTTCAGAAAAGTCACATTAAGCTTCTGATGCTTGGGACATCCTCCTGATGTGAAAGACGCTACACAAGTTTAATTTGTTGCTGTTCCATGTGAACTCCCAAGGCTTTCGACAGAAATAAGCAATTTTCTCCTTCCACAATGATATCAGTCTGATTTAGCTGGAATCTGTGACACATGATTAAAATTTTTAAGTTATTGTTGCTCAACCACCCAGTCAGTGTCTCAGTAAAAACAATGCAAGATCCTCACATGTCTTATAACCTTCTATACGAATAAATGGAGAATTTCTGTCTGTCTGGATGCGCTTGAAGAAGGATCTCAATAACCGGTTGATGTAGAGACATGATTTACAACTCATTGGAAAGGTATTGTAACTGGGAGTGACAGGGGCATATTTGTTTTCGGGTATCTCCTATCATTCATGAATTATGATTTAAATGTGTTTAATTTTTAGCGTTTTTTGCTGCAGTTACATCAGCCGCCAAGTCAAAGTGGCCCTGTGGCATTGGGCAGTTACACCTGGTAGCCAAGCTGGCTGTCCGTAGCGCTGTGGCAATCTGTATCCTACAGCACGCATGTCACCAGGTGGCGGCGGGAACAAAATAAAGAAAACAAACGAAGCTAAGCCACGGCAACAACAACACAATTACATTTTTAAAGCGCTTTTCACATCAGGAGGACGTCCCAGTGATTATAAATTGTACATTTATATTGATCAATATAAAGATGCCAAAGTGAAAATCAAGCCTTTCGAGGATACGTAAAATTCCTGGACCAAAGAGAGAAGGTCCATTCAATGAAACTGAAGGACAAAGAACAGCACAGCTGCACTTCAATGCTGATAGGACTGCAACAGCACAGAACTGAACACAGTCTCCAGCTGAGGTCTAACCAGTGTTTTATAAATGTTCAAGGCGAGCGGTAGTCATCTGTTTATCTGATGTAATATATAGTGCAGGACACTGCTCGTCAGTCATGACTGTAATCGCAACAGCAGCTGTGTTCACACAGTGCTTAACATATGATAATGTCCGACATGGTTTCCCAATGACAGGGGCCAAAGAGGAGCGAGGGAGAGGAGGATGTGACTATAAGCGTGATGGGACAGGAAGCCTTGAGGTTGGCTGCACATATTGAGAGAGGAGCTAAGCAGAGGGCCAGAGAGAGGGAGAAAGCTGCAGAAGTTAGGGTGATAGTGTTTGAAGACTCCGCAACTGACTGTGGCACGGAAAAGGAGATGGATCAAATAGGAGATGGTGGGGATCAAAGAATGTGTGTGACATTTAACCCAGGCCCGATTCCCTCTTCAGGTGGAGTTTGGAGATTCCAGGACGCTATTCGAAGTCAGCATTGAGTTACGATAATAATAATAATCCTTGCATTTGATATAGCGCTTTTGATGTCTCCAAGACACCTCAAAGTGCTTCGCAGAATACAATGTAAAGTATATTAGTGTTTGAAACTCGGCATCCATTTGCACACAGCAGTCAGCGTCCCACAAACAGTCGTGGATTGAAAGTGACCAATTTATTATTGTTTTGTTTTTTGGAGGGATTACTAATGGAGTGTGGAGTAAGGAAACTTGCCCAAGGTTACCCGGCCAGGAATTAAACCCAGGTCTCTCACTTGCAAGTGCTCTGACCACTGAGCTATAGGACCCCACAGTGTCGAACTCTCACCACCGAGAGTTTGACCCCACATTCGCCGCCCACCGCCCAACCCTCCTCTCTCCCCATTCTTTCTCTCTAACCATTCAGTCTGTCTCCCACACACATTACGTGTTTTAAAATAATCATTAGAGTAAGGAGAAGATTAATATGGATTATACAAAGAAACTCAGTCTCTCCCACTCTCTCGGCCTTTCTCTTGTTGACTCTCACACACAGTGAGTCAGTAGATGATGGATATGACTTCCACAAGTATATTTTAGCGGTTTTAAAAGAAAACTGGTCGACGTGTGGCAGCCGCAGTTCCTCGCCCACATCCCTTCCCCCACCAGGACCACCTTCCTCCACCTCCGCCACATTGCGCGCCTCCGACCGTCCCGGACCCCGACTGCAGCCGAAACCCTCGGGCACGTGTTTGTCACCTCCCGCCCGGATTCCTCCAACCCACTTCTCGCTGGTCTCCCCAGCGCCACCATTCACAAGATCAGCTCATTCAGACTCTGCCGCCCGCAGACTGACCCCAACCAAACTCCATCCACACCTCTCACCAGCTCTGGCCCGGGCCCCACGGGCTCCTCATCACCAAACCGACCAGCCTCAAGGTCCTCTCACTCTCGTGTTCAAGCCCCTTCACTCCCTGGCACCTCCCTCCCTCTCTCTCCGACCCCCTCATTCCTCAATCCATCACCCAGTCAGTGCCAACTGTCGACAGGCACCTGCCTCCTTCGCGTTCCTTGCACTCTCCGCTCCACCATCGGAGGGCCCGCTTTCAGTCACTACGCCAGAAATCTCTGGAACACTCACTCAATCCCTCCGTGTTGCCCCCGCGCTCCCTTTTTTCAAATTGTACCTGAAAACTTTCCTTTTCGACTGTGTTTACAGCCACCTCCGCCAATCCCTCCCCCCGGCTTGGAGTCAGGCTCCATCACTGTTAAGCTCTGAAACGCTGCCCGACATAGAGGGAGCTATATGAGTGCAAGTTGTTGTTGATTGTGGTTGAGGGGAGCTGAGCTGTGTAGTATGTCTGTGTATGTGAGTGTGTGTGTGTGTGTGTGTTGTTGCCTGTGAGTCTTTTTGTGTGTGAGAGATTGTGAGTGTGTATGTACGTGAGTTTATGTGTGTGTGTGTTTGTTTGTAAATGTGTGTACATGTCTGTACATATTATCAATGAGACCTCTATATAGACTGATATTAACAGTCTGCCTGCTGCCTGTCTGTCTGTGTGTGTGTATGTATGTCATGGATTGAATAACAAAATTATTATTTAATTTGAAGGTATTATTAACCCTGGAAAGTGATCTAACACCTGGGTTCCTACTTGCTGCCAGGTAAACAGAGGGGTGGTGTGAAATAAGGAAACTTGCCCAACTTTTCACCCTGTTCAGGGATAAAACCAGGGTCCGCCTGTGAGGTGAGTGCAGTAACCAATAAGCTACAGGACCCCACAACAGGAACTGAGTGGGAAGAGTCCCTGTCCCAGGGACTGGTCTGTTCCTCCCAGTCCTGCTGAGCCAGGCTGGGCCGCTCTGTGGCACACAGTGACTGTGGGCTCAGCCTGGCTCAGGAACCGGGGGGACAGAGAGAGAGAGAAAGACACAGAGAGAGACACAGAGAGAAACAGAGAATGGCAGAGAGAGAGACACACAGAGAAACAGAGAGAGGCAGCAACAGAGACCTTGAGAGACAGAGTTACCGAACAACAGTTCGAGAAAGAGATTCAGAAATAAAGGGATATAGAGAGTGAGAGAGGGAGACACATTGATATATTTGATATTGACAGTGACACCTCTGTTTAGTCTGATATAAACAGTGACATCTCCACATAGACTGTCCCGCCCTGTGACACCGCAGTCCGGAGTCTCCTGTATCTGCTCCTCATTCTGTGTCGTGTCTCACATCTTATCACAGCCAATCCTGACATCACAGCCTCACACGTCACACGGAGAGATTGTACATCCGTCAATTTTATTGTGATACCAACACAACACAAAACAAAATGATATTTGTTTATAGGGCCTTTCACATCAGGACATCCCCGTCTCTATTCCCCTCAGTTTAGAAGGACGAGGATTTTAAAACAATAAAGACATTTGATAGTGTAGATACAGAGAAATTAGAATCCAGAAAAGGAGGGCATCATCTTAATATGAGAGCCGGGACATTTAGGGATGAAATTACGGCCAGTTTTTCACCCAAAGGCCAATGGGAATCTGGAACTCTCTCCCACAAAAGGCTGTGGATTATGGTTGGATCGATTCACATTGTCCAGACGGAGGTGGGGAGATGTTTGTCAGGTCGGGGTGTTAAGGGATACGGGGCAAAAGCCGTTAACTGCGGTTGAGAAACAGATAGGCCTTGATTTTACAGAATGACCGAATAGGCTCGAGGCGCTGTATGGCCTCCTCCTGTTTCTAGGTTCCTGCGTCACCTCCACTCTCCGCTCAGTAACCCCCGTACCCTCTCTCTAATTGGTCGCCCTCACCCGTCAGGGGTTCAGTGTAAGATCGGCACGACGGTTCGTGTGGAAATAAGGGAAGAGTTTCCCAGTGAACGTGTGGGTGAAAGAGAAGAGATGAGACATGTGGTCGGCGTCGTACAGCGACACCTGTCCTCCCGCATAGTCCAGGTACACGCCCAGCACCCGGGGGCTCACCCTCAGGGGGAGGGGGGTAGGAGGTGAGGTTAGAGCTTTATATTTCCCATTGTACAGCCCCACAGCCCAGACTCCAGCCTCAGGTCCATGTGTGAAATACTCCTTCCTGGGCACAGAATCTCGGGCCACCCCCACTGTCCAGGCTGTGCTGTTCCCCACCCCCACCTCCCAGTAATGTCTCCCTGATGTGAACCCCTCAGACCCCAGGACACTGGGCCAGAAACTGAACCTCTCCGGTGTGTCAGGAACCTGCTGATCTTTGTCACCGGCTCTCACTCGGGTCCGGTCCTCAGACAGGATGAGCCGGGGATGGGCTGTGTTAGGATCCAGAGTCAGAGAGGCTGGAGCTGAAACAGAGAATGTTGACATGTTGGAGATCGTGTGACATTATATTTCAATGGTTCATTCAGTGAGGTTTGGATTCCTGCTCTGTGTGTCTCAGGTTACACGTGGGACACCAGTAATGTCTGGCTGTGACCCGGGGCCCCGCCACCACAGGGCTGAGGTGGGCTGAGCTCCCAATGATCTTATTCAGCATTCCCGACTGAGGGGATGAGGAGTGAGAACAAGACATTTATTCCTCATCTATTCCCAGAGTCAAACTGCGATCACAAGAACACAGTAAGAGCCAGTGTTACCTGCAGTGATGCCCTTTAATAGGAGTTTCCACTCTCTGCTCTGCAGAGACCCAATGAGATCCCTCTCGGCCACATCAACAGACACCTTTGTGGGTTTCTTGATGTCAACGCCAGACCTGGGCACAGATAGAGATTTGATTAATTAAATTCAGACACAATATCGATGACTCAGGTGGAGATTTTTACCATCGCCACCATTGTGGAGTCCTGTTCCTTAGTGGTTAGAGCGCTCGCCTCACAAGCCAGAGGACCCTGTTTCAATTCCCGGGTAGGACAAAACATAAGGCAAGTTTCCTTACTTCACACCTCAGTACTTTCCTACTTACACCTTCACTGCGAGGAGATGCTGGATTTCCTTGAATCCAAGATCAAGGGAATCCGCTCCGTGGTCACTTCCCCTCCAACATCCACCCAACATGCACCCCTTCCCTCCCACACTACGACTCCTACCCATTCTCCCCTACACAACTTCGTACCCGTTTCCCCATCCTCTGTCACCAAACTCATCCTATCCCTGAAACCTACCACCTGCTCCCTTGACCCCGTCCCCACTGCTTATCTCGCAGCTCCACCTCCTTGCCCCACATAACACAGACATCGTCAACCTGTCCCTCTCCTCTGGCTATATTCCCATTCCCTTAAAAACTGCCATCATCACTCCCACCTTAAAAAAACCCTCCCTCGATGCGTCGCAGCTATGAAGCTACTGGCCCATCTCCAACCTCCCCTTCCTGTCCAAGGTCCTGGAACGAGTTGTCGCCTCCCAGCTGCGCTCTTTCCTGTCCAACCATTCACTATTCGAACCCCTTCAGTCGGATTTCCGTGCTGCCCATAGCACAGAACCTGCCCTGGTCAAGGTCACCAATGACATCCTGACCATCTGTGACCAGGGCTCCCTCTGCCTCCTCGTCCTCCTCGCCCTATCGGCAGCATTCGATACGGTCGACCATGCTGTCCTCCTCCACTGATTGTCCTCCCACCTAAACCTTCAAGGCCCTGTCCTTGAGTGGTTTAGGTCGTACCTCTCCCACCGTCTTCACTTGTCTCCACAAATGTTTTTTCCTCTGGCCCCCGCACTGTTTTGTGCAGTGTCCCTCAGGGCTCTGTACTCGGTCCCCTCCTCTTCACCCTCTACATGCTCCACTTGGTGACATCATCCGCAGACATGGGGTTAACTTCCACATGTATGCGGATGACACCCAACTCTACCTTTCCTCCTCTACCCTCAACTCCACGACCTCCGCTGTCCTGACAGCTGCCTGTCCGACATCGAGTCCTGGACGAGAGATAACTTTCTCCAGCTCAACGTGCGCAAAACTGAGGCCCTCCTGATTGGGTCGCGTCAGCGCCTCCGCACCTCAGGCGCTGACACCATCAGCATCCAAGGCTGCACTCTGTACCTCTCAAAGCCATCAGGAACCTCGGCGTTCTGTTCGACCCTGAGCTGTCCTTTCTCCCTCATATCTGAACCACAACTGGGACCGCCTTCACCTCAGGAATGTCGCCAGACTACGGCACTACCTCACCCCTCACGCTGCTGGAACTCTAGTCCACGCCTTTATCACCTCAAGGCTGGACTATGGGAACTCTCTCCTCGCCGGCCTTCCCTGCACCTCCCTCCACAAGCTGCAGGTCATTCAGAACTCTACAGCTCGTGTACTGTCCCGCACCAGGCTTCGGGAACACATCAATCCCACCCTCGCTCGCCTCCACTGGCTCCCCATCCCCCAGAGGATCGAAATCAAGATCCTCACCCTCACCTACAAGGCCATTCACGGCCTTGCTCCCTCCTAGCTCTCCGACCTACTATCCCCATACCTACCTCCCCGTACCCTCCGTTCCTCTGGCTCCGGTCTGCTCCACATCCCTCGCCCCAACCGCCCTACCATCGGTGGCCGGGCCTTCAGCCTCTCAGCCCCAAGGCTCTGGAACTCTATCCCCCAGTGCCTTCGCCTTGCTTCCTCCCTTTCCTCCTTCAAGGCCGGTCACAAGACCTTTCTCTTTGACCGTGCCTTCAGCTCCCCTCTCGACTCTCTACCCCCTCCTCGCTCCCTCCTTTCCCTCCCCTCCCCCTGACCATTTCCCCCTTGCTCGGGTCCTAACCCAACTGTACAGCGCCTTGGGACGTCCTCCCGACGTGAAAGGCGCTCAATAAATGGAATCTTGTTGTACACATAGTAAGGACCAAAATGTTCGTCGATTGTCGGATCAATTTTAGAGGGGTAATTAAAAAAATTTTTCGGGACACTGCTGTGCGCAATGGACTGCATTGTTTCTCCAAGAAAATATACAATCGGTTCCCTTTTTGGTATATTCTATTAAGATCTGATAAAGCACTCTATCAAATGATAGGATTATTATTATCATCACAATTCCCTGTAGAATTTGAAGATACACTGGACATATGTAATGTTCTGGGCTCTCACACACAAAAGTTTCTCTATGACGAATAGCACTTTCTGTTACACAATGAGATTAGGGAATGTCACTAACCAGATGGACGTAAGGAAAGATTACAGACCTGTCAATGATGGATATGATATCCTGAAGAAGAAATAAAAATAAGGCGAGTTAGAGTCAATCTTGCACACAGCCATCGAGATGAATTTAAACAGGTATTAGGCAGCTTAATGCTGTGATTCATGTCAAATTAAAATAAACGGATAACTAGTCACTCGTAGAGAACAGGTCTCAGTCACAAGGTGTCAGGAATGGCCAGTTAGGCATATGTACAAATCCATAAATAAATGAGGCCGGGATAGTGACAACGTGATGACGTCAGTGGTCGTGACAAGTTAAGTCAGTGTCGTGTTATCAGCAATCGACTGTCTTCATGAATCAAAACTAAATTTCTGATCTGAGTCACAGCAGATTGTCGGAACTCAATCATTTCAGGTCACACACAATCATTCCCCCTCGTCTATATCTCTTTCTAAATATAGCTTTAAATTCCTCACCTGTCTGCCTATCACACAAGACACACACCCGCATTAACACACCCACTGTCTGTCTATCACGCCAGACACACACCAACATTAACACACTCACTGTCTGTGTATCACACCAGAAACACACCAGCATTAACACACCCACTGTCTGTCTATCACACCGGACGCACAGCCTATGTACCTTCAGGAATTCGGTGTTCTGGAGAGTCAGTCTTGTCTGGATTTCTGCTATTCTCTGGTTAATAGAAGTAATTTGCTTGGAAATGTCACTCTTATTGTTTTCTATTTGTCCTAAGATGGCCTCCTCCTGCTGTCTGAGTTTGGTGATCAGGTCTCGCTGCTCCTCAGTCAGCAGCCGGTGACGTTTGGCAAATTCAGCGTCGATGTTCTTCTTCAAACGCTCGGCTTGTCTCTGTCACAATAAAAACAATGTTAACATTATCCGACACAAGAACAGGGGCTCAGCCTGTCAGTCACGGTTACACTGCCCATGAACCTGGTGATATCCTCCTGAGGGGGGGGGGTATCGAGGTCTCCTGAACTGAACTGGCTCCAAGGTGACCTGCCTGGAAATGGAATGGCGGCATCGAGAGAGGCCTCTGTGACGGTCTCTTGTCCAGTTCCTGAGCCAGGCCGGTCCACAGTATCCCAGGGCACTGCTGATAACAGCACAGCACATCGACAGGACCTGGATAGGCAGACGAGTCACTGTGGGCAGTGAGTAAACCCACTCATCTCCTGTTAACCCTGCGATATCAAGCCCTAACCTGAAGCGTGGTTCTGGCTGGAAACAGCGGGAAAGCTTGTCACACAGCAATATCAATGGGATATGCAAACCCCTCACCTTCACTTCCAGTTGAGAAGCTCCTTCTTCTCTCTGACACTGAGACATTTCATCCAACTGTTTCTGAAGAGTGTCCAGGGCTTTCTGCAGCTTTTGCTGAACCAAAGTGAATGTAAGTAAACAGGGAGAAGGGACAGAGTCATTATTACTGGTTTAGGATATTCCACTTGTGTGACAGAGCTGTAATATTCCATTCCACTCGATCAACAGAGTCAGATGGTGAGGCCGCTCAGAAATTCTGGATTTGCCTAACGTGCCGTCAGCAAACCAGCCAACACCAGGGCTTGAACACACAACCTTCTGACCCAGAGGCCGGCGAGATTGCTGCTCAGTGACCGGCTGTACACAATATCATCTCTTTCCTAATATGTTACACAGAGTGTAACAGCACATTGACAAAGCTTCATTTGCTGGACTAAACTTTAATTTGGTCAGCAAACCAATCTTACATATTAAACACCTGGTTCAGTAATCAGATTGTGGCCTCTGAGTCAGGAAGTTGTGCAACATTGGTGTGTGCAAATCGGCAGCTGTGCTCACAGTCAGGTCGCTTTAGGGTTCCATAAACCTGGTTTGTATTCCCTTCAGTTTAGAAGGTTGAGGGCTGATCTGATTGAGGTGTTTAAAATAATAAGGGATTTCAATACAGAAGCTACAGAGACAGTATTTATAATAATAATAATCCTTGCATTTGATATAGCGCTTTTCACATCGGGAGGACGTCCAAAAGCACTTCGCAGAACACACTGTAAAGTGAATTGACTGTATATTTGTGGGCGAACGCGGCAGCCAATTGCGCATAGCAATGTCCCACAAACAGTCGTAGATTGAAAATTACCAATTTATTATTGTTTTTGGTTTTGGAGGGATTATTATTAGGCTCTGTGTGGAGTAAGGAAACTTGCCCAAGGTTTGGCCCTCTGCCTGGAATTGAACTCAGGTCTCTCGCTTGCAAAGCAAGTGCTCTAACCACTGAGCTTCAGGACTCCACAAATCTCCACAAATCTACAGGACTATTTCTTCTCGTGACAGAACCGAGAACAAGGGAAATAATATTATACTTAGAAATAGACCTTCATCAGCTGTGGAGTCCTGTAGCTCAGTGGTTAGAGCACTTGCTTTGCAAGCGAGAGACCTGAGTTCAATTCCTGGCAGGGCAAAACCTTGGGCAAGTTTCCTTACTCCACACAGAGCCTAATAATAATCCCTCCAAAAACCCCCAAAAAATAATAAATTGGTCATTTTCAATCTACGACTGTTTGTGGGATATTGCTGTGCGCAATTGGCTGCCGCGTTCGCCCACAAATGTACAGTCAATTCACTTTACAGTGTTCTGTGCAGCGCTTTGGGACGTCCTCCCGACATGAAAAGCGCTACATCAAATGCAAGGATTATTATTATTATTATTATATTCATCAGTGAAATCAGGAAGCATATTTTTCCACAGTGAATTAAGACTCAGGTGGATAGATTTTTGTTATGTCAGGGTATCAAGGGATATGGGGCAAAGGTGGGGGTTTACAGTTGAAGTACAGATCAGCCATGATCTAATGCATTGGCAAACAGGCTTCAAGGCCTGAATGGTCTCCTCCTGTGCCTGTGTCCTATGTTTAGTGTATTCTGAAGCACCGTCGACGCTACATGAAATTTCTGGATTATCAATTCCATACCTTGTGGAGCTCAGCTGCTTCCTTAATGGGAATGATTGTGTGATCCTTGTGATCACGGGACATCGCACAGACCACACAGATCGCTCTTTGATCCATTTCACAAAACAGTTTCAGCTTCTCCTCATGCTCTTCACACTGGATTCCCACCTCTTCCAGCCTCGGATTCAGGCTCAGTCTCTGAACACTCTCTACAATGTTAGACAGAGTTCTGTTGGACAGAACACTCCTCTGGGGAATCTGCTGCCTGCACTGAGGACAGGACACACTTTCTTGCCCTGTGCCCCAACACTGTAAAATACAGTCTCTGCAGAAGTTATGGCCACAGTCTATAGTCACCGGATCCGTGTAAAACTCCAGACAAATTGAACAAGTGGCTTCATTTCTCAGGTTCTCCAGTTCCTGTACAGACGCCATTTCACCATCAGCTCTTTGCTCTGTTTGGGACTTTCACCTTTCCCCCAAACCAGGAAGTGGCTGTGCGGGTGGGGATCACAGACCAACTGCTGTTTAAAGGGACAGACACCTGAAGACAAAAGGAACACAGATGTTTAGCACATTTGGCCATTCGTAAGGTCTGATCTCAGAATGTTTATTAAAAATAATGATAATCTTTGCATTTGATATAGCACTTCATCATATCTTCGAGAAGTCTAAAAGCGCTGCTACTGTAAAGTTAATTTTAATGACGACAACAGTGTAATAATCAATAATAACCCTTGCTTACTATTTTGTGCCTGATCACATCTTCGAGACGTCTCAAAGCGCTATACAGAATATCAACTGAATTCACTGTATATTTTGTCGGCGAAACGTGGAAGACAATTGCACACAGCAGTTTCCCACAGGCAGTCATGGATTGATTGACCAAATTTTATTTATTTATTAAAAATACTGAAGGATTTTTGAAGGATTATTAGTCTCAGAAAAATGATCTGCCAATTGACTGACAATCAGGTTTCAACTTACTGCTCGGTAAACAGAGTCATGGGGTGAGGAAACTTGCCCAAAGTTTCGACCTCCTGGGAACCGAACTCAACTCCTCTGACAAGTGCTGCAAACCCTACCCTGAAGGACCCCACAATAATACAATTCAACTTCATTTTATCAATCAATAGCCAATGAATAAAAGTATACAAAGCATTTAGTGAACATCTGAAGCAAATAAAGTCGTGACTACGAACAGAGAGATTCAGAAGCGATCAGTTTCTCTTCTCTGATTGTTCCACAGTCTAAGTCGCTGACTTTTGTTTCTTCAACTTCATTTCATCTTATAAATCAAACTGACAAACTCCATTTCTCTATAGGTTAGTCACTATTTAACTGCTTAATATTGTTTAAGAACTATGTGTACTTCAATATAAGAACATGTCGTAATTAATCAATATTTATATATTGTTAAACACAACAGAAGCTGTAATTGAGTCGGAAACCATGACCTTTCCCCGGGATAGTGTCCTCAGTGTCCGATCGTCTCTCCCTCTTTCCCAAACAGGATCTGCTGCTCTCGGCCTCACCTCCACTCGTCGGTGGTGTTTGGAGCTCAAACCCTCACCGGTCGCTCCACACTCCATGTCGCCGCTTCTGTTCCCTCAGGCGCTCTCTCCTGCCTCGTGTGGGGAGAGCACATCCCAACCTGATTGGTTACTGTGGGTAAAGCCCCGGCCAATCACACGGCACATGTTCCCTGGTGCTCTCGCTGATTGGCTGACAGTATTGGGTGTGTTTACCTGCAATGGTCAAACCCCAACAGCTCTCAATGTGATTGGTGCAAACTCTCAGCTTTGGCTCCAGTTCCTTCCTGTTCCCCAATCAGAAGCCACTGCACATTCCCGGTGAACAACCGGAGGCCTCGAGGGCAGCAGCGGCTCAGGATCTCTGCAGCGTTAGTGTTTTACTGTCACTGTTTCCTGACATTGGGCTGTGAGTTCAGTCCAACCCGAGGGGGGGCCCGAGCTCTGTGATAGAGGGCAGAGTGGGAGCCGCTGAGCCGAGCGAACCCCCACAGCGAAGGAGACGGGAATAAAAGAGCAGCGCCTTAAACCAATGGGAAGCTAAAGGTTGGTGGGACGGACCAATGGGGAGCGAGTGAGTGGGGAGACAGTTAGGGTTGGAGAGCGAGCGAGCGGGTGGGGAGAGAGTGAGTGGGTGGGGAGAGAGTGAGCGGATGGGGAGAGAGTGAGCGGGTGGGGAGAGAGTGAGCGGGTGGGGAGAGAGTGAGCGGGTGGAAAGAGAGTGAGGGTTGGAGAGCGAGCGAGCAGGTGGGGAGAGAATGAGGGTTGGGGAGAGAGTGAGCGGATGGGGACAGAGTGAGCGGATGGGGACAGAGTGAGCGGATGGGGAGAGAGTGAGCGGGTGGGGAGAGAGCGAGCGGGTGGGGAGAGAGTGAGCGGGTGGGGAGAGAGTGAGCGGGTGGGGAGAGAGTGAGCGGGTGGGGAGAGAGAGAGAGTTCACGGGGGAGGAGGAGAGACGGTTAATTTTGTGACCAATTGACAACATCCTCGACCGATGAGAAACTCGGATGGAGGGGTCGGGTATCGTAACGGGACTGCGAGCGCGGACTGGAGAGGCAGAGAGCCCGACCGACTGACAGGCGCCGGGCACAGCGACTTGGCCACAAAACAGTCACTACACCTCACGGCGTATCCCGCGAAGCCCTTTCGAGACGTCTCGATGACGCGATGAGCCGCGGTGTCAAAGGCCGGGATTATGATGGCTGTGGTTGTGATGATGGCCTGTGCTGGTCAGCGTGAGCGAAGGTAAAGCCACCGCGGTCTGACCCGGGGCTGAGCTCCGCTTCTGAGCACATGTCCCATTTTCCCGGGAAGACGGTCGTCTCTCTGGGATTCCAGTCATCGGGTCCTCGAGCGCAGACGCTGTTGTTGAACAGCCGTCAGACGGAGAAGGCCACAGCCTCAGACACCGCTCACCTCAGGGCTGAGAAACAAGCAGCGGGGGACGGGGGGACAGACGGGGAGGCGCTGCCCACCAGTGCTCCATCTCTCTCTCTCTCTCTCTCTGCAAAACAGCTGCTCCCGGTCACCAGCAGCTCGAGAAGGTGCGGCCACAACGCCATTTCCCACCAGAAACAAACTGCAGACAAAAGGCAGGAAAACTGGGATTCAGTGACGGGGGGAGACGGCGTTACACACTCACACACACACACTCTCTGTCTCTCACTGACCCGATCCGCCATCAGCGTCGAGTTGTCCCGCCTCTCGGTGCCGCTCCCACCCCGACTGCTCAACTCCTCAACGCCGCCGCCATGTCCGCGCTTCTCCCCCTCCTCGAACCGTCACTCTCTCCCCGCCCACCCGCTCCCCATTGGTCCTTACACAACATCCGGCTCTTCGATCAGCGTTTCTGATTGGTGAGAGCTTTTGTCAATCAGATACTGAGCTGTCATAGCCCCGTTTCCACGTCAATCACCTCCCCCCAACCGCCTCTCGCTCTATGCCCAACCGTCATTCTTTCCCCGCCCACTCGTTCCCCATTTGTCCCCACGAACACCCGCCTCTCAGTTGGAGCTTCCGATTGCTCAGTCGGGTTGTCAATCAGACACTGGCTGTCAGAGGTCCGTTTCCACGTCAATCATCTCTCCTCTTACCCGCCTCGCGCTCTCTGTCCAACCGTCACTTGCCTCCCCCCACTGGCTCCCCATTGGTCGACTCCAACACCCGCCTCCTCAGACAGATCGATCCATTGGTCCGCCCTGTTCTCAATGTGTCTGATGGCGCTCTGATAGGCCCGGTTTCCACGTCAATCATCTCCCCTCTTCCCCGCCCCGCGCTCCACATCCAACCGTCACTCTCTCGTCTCCTGTTCCTCCCTTCTCTGAAGTGTCTGAAGAGAACTGATCTCCAGTGGTTACGGGGAAAGACCGGTCAATAAGGGCTGAAGAGCTGTGACCTTCCGGGACGCGGCGATCGCCATCGCACACACAGACAAGACTCGTGTCAGTTGGCACCGACTGCACAGACTTTCCGGGGCCACAGGATCGGGATGTGGAACTTGTGCCGTTGAAGTCAATCCACCGTTCACTCGTTTCCCTTCAGAATACCGCAGAGAGCGGCGGTGTCCGCGCGGCTCAGCGGCTCCCACTGTGCCCTCTTTCACAGCGCTGTGAGCTCGGCCCTCCCCCCCTCCCTTCGCCCCCCCCCCCCCCCACGCTCGGGTCCTCCCCCACGGCCTCCCCCACACTCGGGTCCCCCCTCCTCCCCTCGGCCCCCCACCCCCCCCTCGGGTCCTCCCCCTCGGGACCCCCACACTCGGCCCCACCCCCCCCTCGCCCCCCCCCCCCACCTCTCGGGCCCTTTGAATATTGCTTCACTACCACATGTTCTTGTGTTGGAGAACACACAGTATTCACACAATATGAAGCGGATAAAGCAGTGACTGACGGACAGAGAAATGGAGTGTATCAGTTTGATTTATGAAATGAAGTTGAAGAAAGAAAAGTCAGCGACTGAGACTGCGGAGATATCCGAGAAGAGAAACCGATCGCTTCTCAATCTCTGTTCGTAGTCACAAGTTTATTTGATGAAGATTTTCATTGAATATTAAGTGTACTTTTATTCATTGGCTATTGATTGATCAAATGAAATTGTATTGTATTGTTGTCGGGTCATTTAGGGTAATGTTTAGAGCGCTCATGAGGAGCTGCGATCGATTCCCAGGAGCGCGAAACATTGGGCAAGTTTTCTTGCTCCACGACTCTGTTTACAGAGCAGTAAGTTGGAACCTGACTTTCAGTCAATTGGTAGATCACTTTTCCGGGACTAAGAATCCTTCAAAATATGTATTTTTTAATTTCACCAAATAAATAATATTTGGTCAATCAATCCACGATTGGCTGTGGAACATTGCTGTGTGCAATTGGCTTCAAAATTTCGCCCAAAAGAATTATAGTAAATTCACTTTGTATTCTGTGTAGAGCTTTGAAATGTCTCGAAGATGTGATCAGGGACAAAATAATATGCAACGGGTTATTATTCTTATGGTCATTATACTGTTGTAGTTAAATTCACATTATAGAAGAAGCACTTTTAGACATCTTGAAGACATTATAAAGTGCTATATCAAAATGCAAGGATTATTATTATTAAACATTCTGAGACGTGACCTTACGAATGGCCTGAATGTGCTAAACATCTGTGTTCCTTTTGTCTCAGGTGTCTGTCCCTTTAAACAGCAGTTGGTCTGTGATCCCCACCCGCACAGCCACGTCCTGGTTTGGGGGAAAGTCCCAAACAGAGCAAAGAGCTGATGGTGAAATGGCGTCTGAACAGGAACTGGAGAACCTGAGAAATGAAGCCACTTGTTCAATCTGTCTGGAGTTTTACACGGATCCGGTGTCTACAGACTGTGGCCACAACTTCTGCAGAGACTGTATTTTACAGTGTTGGGGCACAGGACAAGAAAGTGTGTCCTGTCCGCAGTGCAGGCAGCAGATTCCCCAGAGGTGTGTTCGGCCCAACAGAACTCTGTCTAACATGGTTGAGAGTGTTCAGAGACTGAGCCTGAATCTGAGGCTGGAAGAGGTGGGAATCCAGTGTGAAGAGCATGAGGAGAAGCTGAAACTGTTTTGTGAAACGGATCAAAGAGCGATCTGTGTGGTCTGTGCGATGTCCCGTGATCACAAGGATCACACAGTCATTCCCATTAAGGAAGCAGCTGAGCTCCACAAGGTATGGAATTGATAATAATTCAGACATTTGATAGAGTGCTGTGAGGACGTCTCAAAGTGCTTCAGAATATACTGTAAATATAGGAACAGGAACATAGGCACAGGAGGAAATCATTCACGCCTTGAAGCCTGTTTGCCATTCTATTAGACCATGGCTGATCTGTACCTCAACTCTAAATGCCCACCTTTGCCCCATATCCCTTGATACCCTGACATAACAAAACAATATCCACCTCTGTCTTAATCCACCGACTTTTGGGGAGAGAGTTCCAGATTTCCACAATCTTTTGTGTTGAAAAATATACTTCCTGATTTCACTGATGAAGGCCTATTTCTAACTATAATATTATTCCCCTTGTTCTGAGGTCTGTCAACAGAAGAAATACTGTCTCTGTAGCTTCTCTATCGAAATCCTTTATTATTTTAAATACCTCAACAGATCACCCCTCAACCTTCTAAACTGAAGGGAATACAAACCAGGTTTATGGAACCCTAAAGTGACCTGACTGTGAGCACAGCTGCCTATTTGCACGCACCAATGTCCCACAACCTCCTGACTCAGAGGCCACAATCTGATCCACTGAACCAGTTGTTTAAGATGAAAGATTGGTTTGATGACCAAATTAAAGTTTAGTCGAGCAGATGAAGCTTTGTCCATGTGCTGTTACACTCTATGTGACATATTAGGAAAGAGATGATATTGTGTACAGCCGGTCACTGAGCAGCAATCTCGCCGGCCTCTGGGTCAGAAGGTTGTGTGTTCGAGCCCTGGTGTTGGCTGGTTTGCTGACGGCATGTTAGGTAAATCCAGAAGTTCTGAGCGGCCTCAACATCTGACTGTGTTGATCGAGTGGAAAGGAATATTACAGCTCTGTCACACAAGTGGAATATCCTAAACCAGTAATAATGACTCTGTCCCTTCTCCCTGTTTACTTACATTCACTTTGTTTCAGCAAAAGCTGCAGAAAGCCCTGGACACCCTTCAGAAACAGTTGGATGAAATGTCTCAGTGTCAGAGAGAAGTAGGAGCTACTCAACTGGAAGTGATAGTGAGGAGGTTTGTAGATCAGCTCTGATATAGCCCATCCCATTGATATTGCTGTCTGATATCGCAGGGTTAACAGTAGATGAGTTGGTTTACTCCCACAGTGACTCGTCTGCCTATCCAGGTCCTGCCGCTGAGCTGTGCTGGGACCGACCTGGCTCACACACTGGACAAAAGACCGTCACAGAGGCCTGGGCTCGATGCCGCCATTCCATTGCCAGGCAGGTCACCTTGGAGCAGTTCAGTTAAGGAGACCTCGCTATCCACCTCCTCAGGAGGATATCACCAGCTTCATGGGCAATGCAAACGTGACTGACACTCTGAGCCCCTGTTCATGGGTTGGATAATGTTAACATTGTGTTTATTGTGACAGAGACAAGCCGAGCTTTTGAGGAAGAACATCGATGCTGAATTTGCTAAACGTCACCAGCTGCTGACTGAGGAGCAGCGAGACCTTATCACCAAACTCAGACAGCAGGAGGAGGCCATCTTAGGGCAAATAGAAAACAATAAGAGTCACATTTCCAAGCAAATTACTTCTATTAAAAAGAGAATAGCGGAAATCCAGACAAGACTGACTCTCCAGAACATCGAATTCCTCAAGGTACATAGGCTGTGTGTCTGGTATGATAGACAGATAGTGAGTGTGTTAATGCTGGTGTGTGTCTGGTGTGACAGACAGTGTTAAATCTGAATTTACAAATAGATACAGATGAGGGGCAAGGATTGTGTGTGACCGAATGTGATTGAGTTACTACAATCTGCTGTGACTGCAATCAGAATATTAGTTTTGATTAACTAAAACAGTAGATTGCTGAGAACACGGCACTGGCTTAACTTGTCACGACCACTTCAGTCATCATGTTATTGCTATCATGGCCACATTTATTTATCTATTGATACATAACCGGCCACTCCTTATACCTCGTTGTCTTGGAGAAATGAGTTATCAGTTTATCTCAATTTAACATGAATCGCAGAACAATGTTCAACGACATCTCGATGGCGGTGTGCAAGATCGACTCTCATTCTCCTTGTTTTTATTTCCTCCACAGGATATCAAATCCATCATTGACAGGTCTGTAATCTTTCCTTATGTTCATCCAGTTCGTGATGTTCCCTAATCCCAATGTATAACAGGAGATGATGGAGAAACATACCTGTGTGAGAGTCCAGAACATTATTATCTGTTCAGTCTATCTTCAAATACGATAGAAAATTGTGAAAATAATAATAATCCCAGCATTTGATAGAGAGTTTAATCAAATCTTTGAGATGACTCGAAGCACAAAAAGAATATACTGTAAAGGGAAGTGATTGTGGGCAAAACCCGGCAGGTTGCATAAACTTGGACTCTATTCCACCAACATGTTTTTCAAAGGATTATTACCCCCGGAAAATTACTCACCCAATCGACTAACACCTTGGTCACTACTTATTAGGTGTAAGCAGGAAAGTACTGAGGTGTCAAGTAAGGTAACATGCCAAATGTTATGTCCTTCCCAGGAATCGAGCCAGGGTGCTCTGGCTTGTGAGGCGAGTGCTCTAACTACAAAGGAACAGGACTCCACAATGGTGGTGATGGTGAAAATCTCACCTGAGTCATCGATATTGTGTCTGAATTTAATTAAACAAATCTCTATCTGTGCCCAGGTCTGGTGTTGACATCAAGAAACCCACAAAAGTGTCTGTTGATGTGGCTGAGAGGGACCTCATTGGGCCTCTGCAGAGCAGAGAGTGGAGACTCCTGTTAAAGGGCATCATTGCAGGTAACACTGGCTCTTACTGTGTTCCTGTGATCGGAGTCTGACTCTGGGAATAGATGTGGAGTGAATGTCTTGTTCTCACTCCTCATCTCCTCGGTCAGGAATGCTGAATAAGATCATTGGGAGCTCAGCCCACCTCAGCCCTGTGGTGGCAGCCAGACATTACTGGTGTCCCACATGTAACCTGAGACACACAGAGCAGGAATCCAAACCTCACTGAATGAACCATTGAAATATAATGTCAACCGTTCACCACACGATCTCCAACATGTCAACATTCTCTGTTTCAGCTCCAGCCTCTCTGACTCTGGATCCTAACACAGCCCATCGCCGGCTCATCCTGTCTGAGGACCGGACCCGAGTGAGAGCCGGTGACAAAGATCAGCGGGTTCCTGACACCCCGGAGAGGTTCAGTTTCTGGCCCAGTGTCCTGGGGTGTGAGGGGTTCACATCAGGGAGACATTACTGGGAGGTGGGGGTGGGGAACAGCCCACACTGGACAGTGGGGGTGGCCCGAGAGTCTGTGCCCAGGAAGGGGTATTTCACTCCTGGACCTGAGGCTGGAGTCTGGGCTGTGGGGCTGTACAATGGGGAATATATAGCTCTTACCTCACCTCCTACCCCCCTCCCCCTGAGGGTGAGCCCCCGGGTGCTGGGCGTGTACCTGGACTATGCTGGAGGACAGGTGTCGCTGTACGACACTGACAACATGTCTCATCTCTTCACTTTCACCCACACCTTCTCTGGGAAACTCTTCCCTTACTTTAGCCCTGGCCATAACGCCGACCTGACACTGACCCCTGACACTGACCCTCTGACAGGGGTGAGGTCGACCAATCAGAGAGAGGGTACAGGGGGTGAATCATCCAAGGATTACCACAATCGCTGGTAAGTTACCTGCAGGATGATAATTACTGACCAGACTCCACATTATTCCTGGTGCACTCTCATGCTGAAGCAAACCTACCCAAATTGGACTTTGAGAGCTCTGCACGTACGTGTACAACTGACACACTCTCTTCCTGCGGGAAGACACACATCAGGAACAATGTCAGTCACAGCTGTCGAGCTGGGAGACACCAGCGTATTTTTGGTGTATTACTGGAGTTTAACCAATTCAAACTGGACATAGCTTGACCATTGAGAGCTTTGACTGTTATGATACCTCTTGTGTGTTCAGCTGGGATTATACTTGTTGGAGCTTTGGCTTTGAAGTAATTGGTCCAAGTATGAAGTATCCCTGCACCTCCTTAACATGCTATTTGTGGGTGAGGTCTGTATTACTGCAGACACATGTGGCTCAGGAACCAAACGAGCGGTTTTGAACGCTGGCACACAGGGTTGACTTGATTCCGACAATCTGTTCTCAAAAATGTCCTTTGGAGCCAGTTCTGCTTCAAGGAAAGTGCTAATCTTGAACCAAACAGAATAGTCACGAGTTGGTCTAGTTTGTGGGATGTTATTGTGAGCAATTGACTGCTGTATTTTGCACATAAAAGAAGCAGTCACTACACTGAACTCCTTCCACCTCTTTTGAGCACCTCACCCTCTCCCACCCCTCCTTCCTCTCATTCAAAATCCTCCTCCTCTACTGGCCCCCTGAAGCGTCTCCCACCTTCATCTCCGATATTTCTACCCTACTTACAGCCCTCTGCCTCTGCTCTGATTGCCTCATCATCCTGGGCGACTTCAACCTGCACTTCACCCCGTCCTGCTCCATCTCCTCGGACTTCTCCTCCCTGCTCTCCTCGCTCAACCTCTTCCTCCACATCAACTCCGCCACTCACAGTCACAGCCACCCACTGGATTTGGTGATCACCCGGGGCCTCAGTGTCTCGGATGTCACCATTACCAACAAGGCCGTCTCCGACCACCACTTCATCTCCTTCACCACCTCCACACCCCTCCGCACCTCCACCAGATCCACCACCATCTTCTACCGCCCCTGGAAGAAGTTACCCCACAATCCCTAACCGCTGCCTTGGAGTCCTGTGAACTCCTCTCCCTCTGGCCTTCAACCCTCACTGACCCCTCTTCTGCTCTCACCCTCCTCCACAACACCCTCTCCTCCACACTCGACACTCTTGCCCCCATCACCTCCCGTACTGTCTCCTACTCTTGCTCCTCCCCCTGGTTCACCACCCACCTCCGCTCACTGAAGAGCCAGGTGCGGACCGCTGAACGTAGCTGCCTCAAATCTGGCCTAACGGTCCACCGACAAATCTGGCTGGATTCGTGATTGAGTAGATTGGTAGATCAAAATCTACTGCTCCACTCTAGCCTTGGCCAAGTCGTCCTTCTACTCCAGGATAATCCTGGAGGCGAAGAACAATCCCAGGCTTCTGTTCTCTACCACATCCCAACTCCTCTGCCACCCCACATAGGTCATCTCCGCCAACCTTCACTGAGAGGAGATTCTGGATTTCCTTGAATCTAAAATGAAGGGAATCCACTCCGAGGTCACTCCCCCTCCAACTTCCACCCACCCCGCACCCCTTCCCTCCCACACTCCGACTCCTACCCATCCTCCCCTACACACCTTCGAACCCGTTTCCCCACCCTCTGTCACCAAACTTATCCTGTCCCTGAAACCCACCACCTGCTCCCTTGACCCCATCCCCACTCCACTCCTTATCTCTCAACTCCATCTCCTTGCCCCACTTATCACAGACATCATCAAACTGTCCCTCTCCTCTGGCTCTGTTCCCATTCCCTTAAAAACTGCCACCGTCACTCCCACCTTGAAAAAACCCTCCCTTGATGCGTCGCAGCTATCAAGCTACCGGCCCATCTCCAACCTCCCCTTCCTGTCCAAGGTCCTTGAAAGAGTTGTCGCCTCCCAACTGCGCTCTTTCCTCTCCACCCATTCATTATTAGAACTGCTTCAGTCGGGTTTCCGTGTTGTCCATAGCACAGAAACCGCCCTGGTCAAGGTCACCAATGACATCCTGACCATCTGTGACCAGGACTCCCTCTGCCCCCTTGTCCTCCTCGACCTATCGGCAGCATTCAATACGGTCGACCATGCTATCCTCCTCCACCGCTTGTCCTCCCACCTCAACCTTCAAGGCTCTGTCCTCGAGTGGCTTAGGTCGTACCTGTCCCACTGTCTTCATTTTGTTTCCACAAACGGCTTTTCCTCCACCCCCCGCACTGTTTCGTGTGGTGACCCTCAGGGCTCTGTCCTCGGTCCCCTCCTCTTCACCCTCTATATGCTCCCCCTGTGGTGACATCATCCGCAGACATGGGGTTAACTTCCACATGTATGCGGATGACACCCAACTCTACCTTTCCTCCTCTACCCTCAACTCCACGACCACCGATGTCCTGACAGCTTTCTGTCTGACATTGAGTCCTGGACGAGAGATAACTTTCTTCAGCTCAACGTACACAAAACTGAGGCCCTCCTGATTGGCTCACGTCAGCGCCTCCGCACCTCAGGCGCTGACAGCATCAGCATCCAAGGCCGCACTCTCCACCTCTCAAAGCCATCAGGAACCTTGGTGTTCTGTTCGACCCTGATCTGTCCTTTCTCCCTCATATCCGCGCCACAACCGGCACCGCCTTCCATCATCTCCGGAATATGGCCAGACTACGGCACTACCTCACCCCTCATGCGGCTGAAACTCTGGTCCACGCCTTTTATCACCTCAAGGCTGGACTATGGGAACTCTCTTCTCGCCGGCCTTCCCGGCACCTCCCTCCACAAGCTGCAGGTCATTCAGAACTCTGCAGCTCGTGTACTGTCCCGCACCAGGCTTCGTGACCACATCACTCCCACCCTCGCCCTCGCTCGCCTCCACTGGCTCCCCATCCCCCAGAGGATCGAATTCGAGATCCTCATCCTCAACTACAAGGCCATTCACGGCCTCGCTCCCTCCTACCTCTCTGACCTACTATCCCCCTACCAACCTGCCCGTACCCTCAGTTCCTCTGGCTCCGGTCTGCTCCACATCCCCTGTCCCAACCGCCCTATCATCGGTGACCGGACCTTCAGCCTCTCAGCCCCGAGGCTCTGGAATTCTATCCCCCAGTGCCTTCGCCGCCTTCTCCCTTTCCTCCTTCAAGGCTGGTCTCAAGACCTTTCTCTTTGACCGAGCCTTCAGCTCCTCTCTCGACTCTACCCCCTCCTCGCTCCCTCCGGTCCCTCACCCTGACCATTTCCCCCCTCCTCGCTCCCTCCCTTCCCTCCCCCTGACCATTTCCCCCCTCTTCACTCCCTCCGTTCTCTCCCCTCACCCTGACCATTTCCCCCCAATGCTCGGGTCCTGACCCAACTGTACAGCGCCTTCGGACGTCCTCCCGACGTGAAAGGCGCTCTATCAATGGAATCTTGATGTTGTTGTTGACACTGTTAATACCGCACTATATAGAGGTGTCACTGTCAATATCAAGCTATATGGATGTCTCTCTCTGTCACTCTATTCCTTGATTTCTGTATCTCTCTCTAACTGTTGTTCAGTATCTCTGTTTCTCTCTGTCTCTCTCTTAGTCTCTGTCTCTCAAGGTCTCTGTTGCTGTCTCTCTCTGTTTCTCTGTGTGTCTCTCTCTCTGCCATTCTCTGTTTCTCTCTGTGTCTCTCTCTGTATCTTTCTCTCTCACTCTCTGTCCCCCCGGTTCCTGAGCCAGGCTGAGCCCACAGTCACTGTCTGCCACAGAGCGGCCCAGCCTGGCTCAGCAGGACTGGGAGGAACAGACCAGACCCTGGGACAGGGACTCTTCCCACTCAGCTCCTGTTGTGGGGTCCTGTAGCTTATTGGTTACTGCACTCGCCTCACAGGAGGACCCTGGTTTTATCCCTGAACAGGGTGAAAAGTTGGGCAAGTTTCCTTATTTCACACCACTCCTCTGTTTACCTGGCAGCAAGTAGGAACCCAGGTGTTAGATCACTTTCCAGGGTTAATAATACCTTCAAATTAAATAATAATTTGGTTATTCAATCCATGACACACGCGCACACACACACAGACAGACAGCAGGCAGACTGTTAATATCAGTCTATATAGAGGTATCACTGATGACATACATAGACATGTACACACATTTACAAACACACACAAACTCACACATGTACATACACACATACAATCTCTCACACACACAAACAGACAACCACACATACACACTCACATTCACAGACATACTACACAGCTCAGCTGCCCTCAACCAGAAACAACAACAACTTGCACTTATATAGCGCACTCCATGTAGGGCAGCGTCCCAGAGCTTAACAGTGATGGAGCCTGACTCCAAGCCGGGGGGAGGGATTGGCGGAGGTGGCTGTAAGCACAGTCGAGAAGGAAAATTTTCAAGTAGAATTTTAAAAAGGGGAGTGCGGGGGCAAAGCGGAGGGATTGAGCGAGAGTGTTCCAGAGATTTCTGGCGTAGTGACTGAAAGCGGGACCTCCGATGACAGAGCGGAGAGTGCAAGGGACGCGAATGAGGCCGGTGCCAGTCGACAGTAGGCGCTGACTGGGTGATGGATTGGGGAGGTCGGAGAGGGAGGGAGGTGCCAGGGAGTGAAGGGCGAGAGTGAGAGGACCTTGAGGTTGGTCGGTTTGGTGATGATGAGCCCGTGGGGCCCGGGCCAGAGCTGCTGAGAGGTGGGGACGGAGTTTGGTTGGTGTCAGTCTGCGGGCGGCAGAGTCTGAATGAGCTGATCTTGTGAATGGTGGCGCGGGGGAGACCGGCGAGGAGTGGGTTGGAGGAATCCGGGCGGGAGGTGACAAACACGTGCCCGAGGGTTTCGGCTGCAGTCGGGGTCCGGGACGGTCGGAGGCGCGCAATGTGGCGGAGGTGGAGGAAGGTGGTCCTGGTGGGGGACGGGATGTGGGGGAGGAAGGACGGTGGGGGTCGAGCCGGACCCCGGGGTTGGGCACTGGTTCGGGGAGTCTGAGGGAGAGTCCGGGGAGGTTGAGGAGCTCAGATCCTCAGGAGTGAAGGCGGTGACGGGAGCCGAGGAGTATGGCTTCCGTCTTGTCCACATCCAGCGGCAGGAAGTCTGCGCTGATCCGGGCCCTGAGTGAGCGCGAACTGATCAGAGAAACACAGAGACAGATTGACTTTCACGAGTTTTATTAATTATCTGATCACTCGGAATGTGTGTGAGAGACCGAGAGAGAGAGAGAGACTGAGACCCACACGCGCTCACACACCCACACGCTCTCACACTCCGTCTCACTGACCCGATCCGCCATCAGCGCCGAGTTGTCCCGCCTCTCGGGGCCGCTCCCGCTCCGACTGCTCAACCCCCCACTGCCGCCGCCGCCATGTCCGCGCTTCTCCTCCTCCTCCAACCGTCACTCTCCTCCCGCCCACTCGCTCCCCATTGGTCCTTTCTGAACACCCGCCCCCTCAATTGGATCGTCCCATTGGTCCGCCGAGATGTCAATGTGACGCTTCGCGCTCTGATAGGCCCCGCGGTCAGTGTCGGGGGTTCAGTGTCAGGTCAGTGTGACACAATGTGCTGAAGTACGGGAAGAGTTTCCCAGTGAACGTGTGGGTGAAAGTGAAGAGGTGAGACATGTGGTCGGCGTCGTACAGCGACACCTGTCCTCCCGCATAGTCCAGGTACACGCCCAGCACCCGGGGGGTCACACTCAGGGGGANGGGGGTATGAGGTGAGGATAGAGCTTTATATTCCCCATTGTACAGCTCCACAGCCCAGACTCCAGCCTCAGGTCCATGTGTGAACCACCTCTTCCTGGGCACAGACTCTCGGGCCACCCCCACTATCCAGTATGTGCTGTTCCCCACCTCCACCTCCCAGTAATGTCTCCCTGATGTGAACCCCTCAGACCCCAGGACACTGGACCAGAAACTGAACCTCTCCGGGGTGTCAGGAACCTGCTGTTCTCTGTCACTGACTCTCACTCGGGTCCGGTCCTCAGACAGGATGAGCCGGGGATGGGCTGTGTTAGGATCCAGAGTCAGAGAGGCTGGAGCTGAAACAGAGAATGTTGACATGTTGGAGATCGTGTGGTGAACGGTTGACATTATATTTCAATGGTTCATTCAGTGAGGTTTGGATTCCTGCTCTGTGTGTCTCAGGTTACATGTGGGACACCAGTAATGTCGGGCTGTGACCCGGGGCCCGGCCACCGCAGGGCTGAGGTGGGCTGAGCTCCCAATGATCTTATTCAGCATTCCCGACCGAGGGGATGAGGAGTGAGAACAAGACATTTACTGCACATCTATTCCCAGAGTCAGACTCCGATCACAGGAACACAGTAAGAGCCAGTGTTACCTGCAGTGATGCCCTTTAACAGGAGTTTCCACTCTCTGCTCTGCAGAGACCCAATGAGGTCCCTCTCAGCCACATCAACAGACACTTTAGTGGGTTTCTTGATGTCAACACCAGACCTGGGCACAGATAGAGATTTGTTTAATTAAATTCAGACACAACATCGATGACTCAGGTGAGATTTTCACCATCACCAACACTGTGGAGACCTGTTCCTCAGTGGTTAGAGCGCTCGCCTCACAAGCCAGAGGACTCTGGTTCGATTCCCGGGTAGGACAAAACATGAGGTAAGTTTCCTTACTTCACACCTCAGTACTTTCCTACTTACACGTAGTAAGGACCACGTTGTTAGTCGATTGGCGGTTCAATTTTCCAGGGTTAATTGCAANTTTTTTTCGGGACACTGCTGTGCGCAATGGACTGCATTGTTTCTCCCAAAAATATATAATTAGTTCCCTTTATGGCATATTCTATTAAGATCTGATAAAGCACTCTATCAAATGATAGGATTATTATTATCATCACAATTCCCTGTACAATTTGAAGATAGATTGGACATATGTAATGTTCTGGGCTCTCTCACACAAATGTTTCTCTGTGACTAATAGCAATTTCTGCTACACAAAGCGATTAGGGAATGTCACTAACTAGATGGACGTAAGGAAAGATTACAGACCTGGCAATGATGGATTTGATATCCTGAAGAAAGAAAAATAAGGAGAGTTAGAGTCCATCTTGCACACAGCCATCGCGATGAATTTGTACAGTTATTAGGCAGCTTAATGCTGTGATTCATGTTAAATTAAAATAAACTGATAACTCATCACTCCAAGGGAACAAGTCTCAGTCACAAGATGTCAGGAATGGCCAGTTAGGCATATGTATAAATCCATAAATAAATGAGGCCGGGATAGTGACAACGTGATGACGTCAGTGGTCGTGACAAGTTAAGTCAGTGTCATGTTATCAGCAATCTACTGTTTTAATGAATTAAAACTAAATTTCTCATCTGAGTTACAGCAGATTGTAGTAACTCAATCATATCAGCTTTTCATAGATTCACAGAATGTTACAGCACAGAGGGAGGCCATTCGGCGCATCGAATCTGTGCGGCGCTTTGACAGAGCGTCACTTTCACTAACCCCAGTCACCAGCTTTCTCCCCATAACCCGGCAAACCCGTCTTCCCCCAAAACAAACACAAACACACACAATCCTTCCCCTTCGTCTACATCTCTTTCTAAATTCAGCATTAACACCATCACCTGCCTTTCTATCACACCAGACAAAGACCAGCATTATCACACTCACTGTCTGTCTATCACACCAGACACACACCAGCATTAACACACTCACTGTCTGTCTGTCACACCAGACACACAGCCTATGCACCTTCAGGAATTCGGTGTTCTGGAGAGTCAGTCTTGTCTGGATTTCTGCTATTCTCTGGTTAATAGAAGTAATTTGCTTGGAAATGTCACTCTTATTGTTTTCTATTTGTCCTAAGATGGCCTCCTCCTGCTGTCTGAGTTTGGTGATCAGGTCTCGCTGCTCCTCAGTCAGCAGCTGGTGACGTTCAGCAAATTCAGCGTCGATGTTCTTCCTCAGACGCTCGGCTTGTCTCTGTCACAATGAACACAACGTTAACATTATCCGACACAAGAACAGGGGCTCGGCCTGTCAGTCATGGTTACATTGCCCATGAACCTGGTGATATCCTCCTGAGGGGGAGGGTATCGAGGTCTCCTGAACTGAACTGCTCCAAGGTGACCTGCCTGGCAATGGAATGGCGGCATCGAGAGAGGCCTCTGTGACGGTCTCTTGTCCAGTTCCTGAGCCAGGCCGGTCCACAGTATCCCAGGGCAGTGCTGATAACGCCACAGCCCAGACTGGCTCATCGACAGGACCTGGATAGTCAGACTGTGCGGAGTGAGTAAACTGTGGTGAGTGAGTAAACCAACTCATCTCCTGTTAACCCTGCGAGACCAACCCCTAACCTGTAGGGTGATCCTGGCTGGAAACAGCGGGAAAGCTTGTCACACAGCAATATCAATGGGATGGGCTATATCAGAGCTGATATACAAACCCCTCACCTTCACTTCCAGTTCAGCTGCTCCTTCTTCTCTCTGACACTGAGACATTTCATCCAACTGTTTCTGAAGGGTTTCCAGGGCTTTCTGCAGCTTTTGCTGAAACAAAGTGAATGTAAGTAAACAGGGAGAAGGGATAGAGTCATTATTACTGGTTTACGATATTCCACCTGTGTGACAGAGCTGTAATATTCCATTCCACTCGATCGACGCAGTGAGATGGTGAGGCCACTCAGAACTTCTGGATTTACCTAACATGCCGTCAGCAAGTCAGCCAACACCAGGGCTTGAACACACAACCTTCTGACCCAGAGGCCGGCGAGATTGCTGCTCAGTGACCGGCTGTACACAATATCATCTCTTTCCTAATTTGTCACATAGAGTGTAACAGCGCATTGACAAAGGTTCATCTGCTGGACTAAACTTTAACTTGGTCATGAAACCAATCTTACATATTAAACACCTAGTTCAGTTATCAGATTGTGGCGTCTGAGTCAGGAAGTTGTGGGACATTGCTGTGTGCAAATCGGCAGCTGTGCTCACAGTCAGGTCACTTTAGGGCTCCATAAACCTGGTCTGTATTCCCTTCAGTTTAAAAGGTTGAGGGGTGATCTGATTGAGGTGTTTGAATTAATAAAGGATTTCGATAGAGCAGCTACAGAGACAGTATTTCTTTTGGTGACAGAATCCAGAACAAGGGGAATAATATTATGGTAGAAATCTGGAACTCTCTCCCCCAAAAATCGGTGGATTAAGGGACAGTGGGATAGATTTTTGTTATGTCAGGGTATCAAGGGATATGGGGCAAAGATGCGGATTTACAGTTGAAGTACAGATCAGCCATGATCTAATACATTGGCAAACAGGCTTCAAGGCCTGAATGGTCTCCTCCTGTGTCCTATGTTTACAGTGTATTCTGAAGCACTCCCGACGCTACATGAAATTTCAGGATTAATATCAATTCCATACCTTGTGGAGCTCAGCAGCTTCCTTAATGGGAATGACTGTGTGATCCTTGTGATCACGGGACATCGCACAGACCACACAGATCGCTCTTTGATCCGTTTCACAAAACAGTTTCAGCTTCTCCTCATGCTCTTCACACTGGATTCCCACCTCTTCCAGCCTCGGATTCAGGCTCAGTCTCTGAACACTCTCCACCATGTTAGACAGAGTTCTGTTGGGCCGAACACCCCTCTGGGGAATCTGCTGCCTGCACTGTGGACAGGACACACTTTCTTGACCTGTGCCCCAACACTGTAAAATACAGTCTCTGCAGAAGTTGTGGCCACAGTCTATAATCACCGGATCTGTGTAAAACTCCAGACAGATTGAACAAGTGGCTTCATTTCTCAGGTTCTCCAATTCCTGTTCAGACGCCATTTCACCATCAGCTCTTTGCTCTGTTTGGGACTTTCACTTTCCCCCAAACCAGGAAGAGGCTGTGTGGGTGGGGATCACAGACCAACTGCTGTTTAAAGGGACAGACACCTGAAGACAAAAGGAACACAGATGTTTAGCACATTTGGCCATTCGTAAGGTCACGTCTCAGAATGTTTAACAATTGCATTGATAGACATTGCACTGAGGAGGAAGTGGAGGTGACCATTGGTTCAAAAGGAAAGTGATCCGGGTAAACGGCGGGCAAGGCCGAGGGACTGAGGCACAGGGTCAGGTAACATACTTGGAGTTGTTTTGCAAGAGCCAAGGCTCGAGGTCTGGAAATTTATCCTTTGGACCATTCTACCCACAGGGCTTTGGCTTGCAGCGTTAATAATAATAATAATCTTGGCATTTGATATCGCGCTCTCCCCCTCCCCTGAGCTCAGCTCCCCTCAGCTCACGTACCCCATGTCACCTCAACTTCCCTCAGGTCAGCTCACCTCAGCAGCTCATCAACCCTCACATCATCTCAACTCCCCTCAGCTCCCCTCCCCTCAGCAGCTCCCCTTCCCTCACATCCCTTCACATCCCCTCAGCTCCCCTCACATCCCCTCAGCTTCCCTCCCTTCATATCACCTCAGCTTCCCTCCCTTCACATCCCCTCAACTCCACTACCCTCACATCCCCTCAGCTCCCCTCACCCTCTCAGCTCCACTGACATCCCCTCAGCTCCCCTCAGCTTCCCTCCCTTCACATCCCCTCAACTCCACTACCCTCACATCCCCTCAGCTCCCCTCACCTTCTCAGCTCCTCTGACATCCCCTCAGCTCCGCTCACATCCCCTCAGCTTCCCTCCCTTCACATCCCCTCAACTCACTACCCTCACATCCCCTCAGCTCCCCTCACATTCCCTCAGCTTCCCTCACATCAATTCAGCTTCCCTCGCATCCCCTCAGCCCCCCTACCCTCACATCCTCTCAGCTCCCCTCCCCTCACATCTCTTCAGCTCCCTTCACCCCCTCAGCTCCCCTCACTTCCCCTCAGCTCCCCTCACATCCCCTCAGCTCCCCTCACATTTCCTCAACCCCGTACCCTCACATCCTCTCAGCTACCCTCCCTTCACATCCCCTCAACTCCACTACCCTCACATCCCCTCAGCTCCCCTCACCCTCTCAGCTCCACTGACATCCCCTCAGCTCCCCTCAGCTTCCCCTCAGCTCCCCTCAGCTTCCCTCCCTTCACATCCCCTCAACTCCACTACCCTCACATCCCCTCAGCTCCCCTCACCTTCTCAGCTCCTCTGACATCCCCTCAGCTCCGCTCACATCCCCTCAGCTTCCCTCCCTTCACATCCCCTCAACTCCACTACCCTCACATCCCCTCAGCTCCCCTCACATTCCCTCAGCTTCCCTCACATCAATTCAGCTTCCCTCGCATCCCCTCAGCCCCCCTACCCTCACATCCTCTCAGCTCCCCTCCCCTCACATCTCTTCAGCTCCCTTCACCCCCTCAGCTCCCCTCACTTCCCCTAAGCTCCCCTCACATCCCCTCACATCCCCTCAGCTCCCCTCACATTTCCTCAACCCCGTACCCTCACATCCTCTCAGCTACCCTCCCCTCACATCCCCCCTACCCTCACATCCCTTCAGCTCCCCTCCCCTCACATCCCTTCAGCTCCCCCCCCTCACATCCCCTCAGCTCCCCTCACATCCCCTCAGCTCCCCTCAGCTTCCCTCCCTTCACATCCCCTCAACTCCACTAACCTCACATCCCCTCAGCTCACCTCACATTCCCTCAGCTTCCCTCGCATCCCCTCAGCCCCCCTACCCTCACATCCTTACAGCTCCCCTCCCCTCACATCTCTTCAGCTCCCTTCACCCCCTCAGCTCCCCTCACTTCCCCTCAGCTCCCCTAAGCTCCCCTCACATCCCCTCAGCTCCCCTCACATCCCCCCTACCCTCACATCCCTTCAGCTCCCCTCCCCTCACATCCCTTCAGCTCCCCCCCCTCACATCCCCTCAGCTCCCCCCACTCACATCCCCTCAGCTCCCTTCATATTCCCTCAGCTCCCCTCACATCCCCTCAGCTCCCCTCCCCCGTCAGCTCATAACCCCTCATATTGAGTTGAAACGCACTGAGTTTCGTCTCTGTACAACAGCCCTGGTCTCTCTATAACAGCCCTGGTCTCTCTATAACAGCCCTGGTCTCTCTATAACAGCCCTGGTCTCTCTATAACAGCCCTGGTCTCTGTACAACAGCCCTGGTCTCTGGATAACAGCCCTGGTCTCCCTGGTCTTTCCAAGGTCTTGGAAAGAGTTGTCGCCTCCCAACTGCGCTCTTTCCTTTCCACCCATTCTCTTTTTGAACCCCTTCAGTCAGGTTTCCGTGCTGCCCATAGCACAGAAACTGCCCTGGTCAAGGTCACCCATGATATCCTGACCATCTGTGACCAGGGCTCCCTCTGTCTCCTCGTCCTCCTCGACCTATCGGCAGCATTCGATACGGTCGACCACGCTATCCTACTCCACCGCTTGTCCTCCCACCTAAACCTTCAAGGCACTGTCCTTGAATGGTTTAGGTCGTACCTTTCTCACCGTCTTCACTTTGTCTCAACGAATGGCTTCTCCTCCACCCCCCGTACTGTCTCATGTGGTGTCCCTCAGGGCTCTGTCCTCGGTCCCCTCCTCTTCACCCTCTATATGCTCCCCTCGGTGACATCATCCGCAGACATGGAGTTAACTTCCACATGTATGCGGATGACACCCAACTCTACCTTTCCTCCTCTACTCTCAACTCCACGACCACCGATGTCCTGACAGCCTGCCTGTCCGACATCGAGTCCTGGGGGAGAGACAACTTTCTTCAGCTCAACGTGCGAAAAACCGAGGCCCTCCTGATTGGCTCACGTCAGCGCCTCCGCACCTCAGGCGCTGACACCATCAGCATCCAAGGCTGCACTCTCCACCTCTCAAAGCAGTCAGGAACCTCGGCGTTTTGTTCGACCCTGAGCTGTCCTTTCTCCCTCACATCCGCACTACAACTGGCACCGCCTTCCATCACCTTCGGAACATCGCCAGACTACGGCACTACCTCACCCCTCACGCTGCTGAAACACTGGTCCACGCCTTTGTCACCTCAAGGCTGGACTATGGAACTCTCTCCTCGCCGGCCTTCCCGCCACCTCCCTCCACAAGCTGCAGGTCATTCAGAACTCTGCAGCTCGTGTACTGTCCCGCACCAGACACCGCGACCACATCACTCCCACCCTCGCTCGCCTCCACTGGCTCCCCATCCCCCAGACGATCAAATTGAACATCCTCATCCTCACCAATAAGGCCATTCACGGCCTTGCTCCCTCTTATCTCTCCGACCTACTATCCCCCTACTTACCTGCCCGTATCCTCCGTTCCTCTGGCTCCGGTCTGCACCACATCCCCCGCCCCAACCGCCCTACCATAGGTGGCCTTCAGCCTCTCAACCCCAAGGCTCCGGAATTCTATCCCCCAGTGCCTTCGCCGCTTCCTCCCTTTACTCCTTCAAGGCCGGTCTCAATTCCTTTCTATTTGTCCGTGCCTTCAGCTCCTCTCTCGTCTCTCTACCCCCTCCTTGCCCCCTCCCTTCCCTCCCCTACAGCGCTTTGGGACGTCCTCCCGATGTGAAAGGTGCTCTATAAATGGAATCTTGTTGTTGTTGTTGTACAGTAGCCCTGGTCTCTGCATAACAGCCCTGTTCTCTGTACAACAGCCCTGGTCTCCACAACAGCCCTGGTCTCTGTACAACAGGCCTGGTCTCTATATAACAGGCCTGGTCTTTGTATAACAGCCCTATTATCTGTATAACAGGTCTGTTCTATGTAATGTGGAGTCCTGTAGCTCAGCGGTTAGAGCACTCGCTTTGCAAGTGAGAGACCTGAGTTCAATTTCAGGCAGAGGGCGAAACCTTGGACAAGTTTCCTTACTCCACACAGAGCCTAATAATAATCCCTCCAAAACCAAAAACAATAATAAATTGGTCATTTTCAATCTGCGACTGTTTGTGGGACATCGCTGTGCGCAATTGGCTGCTGCGTTCGCCCACAAATATACAGTCAATTCACTTTACGGTATATTTTGTGAAGCGCTTTGGGACGTCCTCCCGACGTGAAAAGCGCGATATCAAATGCAAGGATTATTATTATTATTATATAACAGGTCTGTTCTCTGTATAACTCGTCTGTTCTCTGTATAGCAGGCCTGGTCTCTGTATAATAGGCTTGGTCTCTGTATAACGGGCCTGATCTCTGTGTCACAGGCCTGGTCTCTGTATAACGGGCCTGATCTCTGTATAACAGGCCTGATTTCTGTATAACGGGCCTGGTGTCTGTATAACAGCTCTAGTCTCTGTATAACAACCCTGGTCTCTGTATAATATCTTGCTGTGTCGGTGTCGGTCAGTCAGTCCGGCTCGGCCGGATGCTCTCACCTCGGAATCGCTGGTTCCAGATCCGCATCGGGGGCACTGACAACTCATAGTCCAGTCTGATCCTCCAGTGCAGGGGATTCCTCTCTCCCTCTTACCATTCCTGGTGGTTGGGCTCCTCTCTATCGCCAACTGTCCCTATGGAGGGGTTGGAGGGCTAACTGTCCCTGTGTGGGGAGGGCTCCTCTCTCCCTCTAACTGTGCCTGTGGGAGGAGGAGCTCTTCCCTCCTCTAATTGTCCCTGTGGGGGGTGGGGGGCTCCTCGCTCTCTCTCCAACTGTCCCCGTGTGTTTCGTGGTGGGATGGGGTGTTTTCCCTCCTCTGTGTTTCTCTAACTGTCCCTGTGTGTTTGTCGGGGAGGCAGTTCTCCCCCATCTTTCTCGAACTATACCCGTACGTTGTGTGTGTGTGGGGGGGGGGGCTCCTTTTTCTCTCTAATTGTACCTGTGGTGGGATGGGAGGGTGGTCCATCCTTGGCCCCCAACTCCTCTTTCTGAGCTATATGCTCCCACGTGGGGATCTCATCCGCAGACATGGAGTACATTTCCACATAACAACCAACTCTACTTTTCCACCTCTCTTTGCGCCCCCCAGTCCCCTGATGTTCTGCCTGACAGATCTCAGGGGCTGGATAAGTGCAAACTTCCTTCAGCTGAACGTTGACAGAAGCCATACTCTTTGGCTCTCATCAACGTCTAAAATCTCATGGTTCTCACCTCCTCCACCGTCCTGACCTCCCTCTCAAACGCTCTGAACCCGTACTCAACCTATACGTCACATGCGACCCCCAATTATCCTTTCTCCTCCACATCCGGTCCCTCACCAGCACCGCCTTTTTCCACCTCCGTCGCATCGCCCAGCTCCACAAATACCTCTCCCCAAGTCGCTGAAAATCTGGTCCATGCCTTTGTCACATCTCGGCTGGACTACTCCAATGCCCTCCTCACCGGCCTCCCCTCCACCACCATCCATATATGGTAAGTGTGGTTTTGTGGAAACCTTACTGTATTTGTATCCTTTCTTTCCAGCAAGTTGGAATTCGTGGTAGATAAGGTAAGTGCAATAGCAGAAAACCCAGTTGGCAACTAAAGCTATTACACTCTCTCTCTTGCACCTTTCCACACTCAAGAGGTTTGGTAACACTGTGGACATCATGCTGGATGTTTGACATGTGAGCCAAACTCTGGTTCACACTCGAGGTTGAGATTAGAAGTTGTTAGCAACAAAGACTGGGTTTTGAGAGTGACAAGATGGGTGGATGTTGCTGAGTTAATATGGTGAGGTGACAGTTTGGGTTGAGGGTAGAATTAATTCATACAGATTGTATGAATCGCAGAGATTGAAGTCAGACATTGTAGTTGGATGGTGTAAGGTTTGATTTGATAACATCTATTACAAGAGTTTGATCTGAGATCAGATGGAATTTGTGTGTTGCGTAATATAGAGTCTCTGTGTGAAGGTTGGTTTATTTGCTCAGTATCTTTATCGAGGTTGGTTGGGTTCAGTGGCTGAGTTGGTTTGTGTTGGGGAGCATCAGTTTGTGTATGATTTGGTTCAGGGCAGGTGTCGAGTCAGTGACTGTCTGTCAAGGCCGGTCGAGTGCAGTTGTTGAGGCTTAGAGTCTTTCAGGCCTGGCTCAGTGCAGTTGCCTCGGGTCAGTCGCCGCCAGGGCTGGGTCGGAGCAGTTTGCACGGCTGGTTTGCTAGTAACCTGCAAAGTGTAGCTGCCGAGAGTCGGTTGCTGCCGGGTCTGGGTCAGTGTGGCTGCCACGAGTCAGGTTCTGTTCAGACTGGTTTAGTGTAGTTGTTGAGTCAGTTTATGCTGAGATTGGTTCAGAGTTGGGTTTGTCAGGGTCAGTCAGTCCACTTGTTGAGTTGGTTTCTGTCAGTATTTCCTTAGTATAGTTGAGAGTTGGGTTTAGTTGAGAGGGTGTTTGAGAGTTGGTTTGTGTCAGGGCAGGTTCAGTGCAGTTACAGTGTAGTTGAGTGAGTGGGGCCAAGGTTGGATTAGTAGAATTGTTGAGAATGAATTACTGTGGATTTGATCAGTGAAACTCAGGGAAGTTGGTCAGTGTTGGGGCTGGTTTTGTGAAGTGGAGGTGTTGTGAGACGGGACTGGCTTTGTGTTGCTGAGTTAGTTTGTCAGAGAATCCTCTGTGTAGTAATCGATGTAGTTCATGTTGAATTTGGTTCAGTGTATTTGATGGGAGTTGGTCACTGTCAGGGATGGTTCAGTGTAGGTACACAACCAATTTATTTACAGCGGAGCTTGGATCGGGCTGGTTGTGCATTTGGACTATAGCTCTGTAGCTCGGTGGTTGAGCACTTGCTTTGCAAGCTAGAGACCTGAATTCAATTCCAGGCAGGGCGAAAACTTGGGCAAGTTTCCTTACTCCACACGCCTAATAATAATCCCTCCAAAACAATAATAAATTGGTCATTTTCAATCCACGACTGTTTGTGGGACATTGCTGTGCGCAATTGGCTGCCGCGTTCGCCCACAAATATACAGTCAATTCACTTTACAGTGTGTTCTGTGAAGCGCTTTGGGACGTCCTCCCGACGTGAAAAGCGCTATATCAAATGCAAGGATTATTATTATTATTATTATTATTATCCATGAAATCCAACTCATTCAGAACTCTGCCGCCCGCATTCCCACCCGCACCAAACACCGCTCCCCGACCCCCAGTCCTTGTTGGATTGCACTGGCTGCCTATCCCAGAGAGGATCGACTTCCAGATCCTCTCCCCCGTATTCAAGTCCTTACACTCCTCTGTACCCCCAGACCTCTCTGACCTCCTCTCTCCTCAAAACAGCACCCGTTGCCTTCGTTCCTCCGGGTCTGACCTCCTCCGTGTCCCCCGATTTCTACGCTCCACCCTCGGCGGCCGTGCCCTGAGGCGCTGGAACTACCTTCCTCACTCCCTTCCTCTCACCCCCTCCCTCCCCATTTTCAGATCTCTGCTAAAGACCTCTCTTTTCGACCGCACCTTTGATCACCTTCCCCCAACACCCCCGTCCCCCACCACCACCCCGGCTCAGTCCCGGGGTCCGAAACTGTAAAGTGCTCTGAGACGCCGTCTGGCGTGGAGGACGCTATGTAAATCCAGTTGTTGTTACAGATGTGTGTCCTTATGTGTATATGTGCATATGTGTGTGTCTATCTGTGTATGTGGGTGTCTTCATGTGTGAGTGTGTATGTCTGTGTGAGTTTCAACGTTTGTATGTGTATATGTATGTGTCTGTTTTGTGGATTGAATGACTGATTTGTTTTACAAAGGAATTATTAACGACAGAAAGTGATCTATCCCCTGGGTTCCAACTTACTGCTGAACAGAGGGCTGTATGTGGAATAAGGAAACTTGTCCAACTTTTTGACCGGCTCAGGCATCGAACCATGGTCCTCTCGCTTTCAGCTACAGGACTACAAAACAGGAGCTGAGTCTGTTCCTCCCAGTCCTGCTGAGCCAGGCTGGGCCGCGCTGTGGCCAACAGTGACTGCAGCCCAACCTGACTCGGGGACTGGAGGGACACAGAGAGAGAGCGACAGTGAGAGAGCGACAGAGAGAGAGCGACAGAGAGAGAGCGACAGAGAGAGAGCGACAGAGAGAGAGCGACAGAGAGAGAGAGAGCGACAACAACAACAACAACAACAAGATTCCATTTATAAAGCGCCTCTCACGTCAGGAGGACGTCACAAGGCGCTGCACAGTTGGGTCATGACCCGAGCAGGGGGGAAATGGTCAGGGTGAGGGGAGGGAAGGGAGGGATCGAGGGGGGAAATGGTCAGGGTGAGGGGAGGGAAGGGAGGGAGCGAGGAGGGGGAAGAGAGTCGAGAGGGGAGCTGATGGCTCGGTCAAAGAGAAGAGAGAGCGACAGAGAGAGAGAGAGCGACAGAGAGAGACCGACAGAGAGAGACCGACAGAGAGAGAGAGAATAATAGTACCAGAGATAGAAACATAGAGAGGCAGAGAGAGAGATACCGAGAAGCAGAGCGCGAGGCAGCGACACAGGCCTTGAGAGACAGAGATACTCAACAACAGTTAGAGAGACAAAAATAAAGGGATACAGAGAGAGAGAGAGAGACAACTCTATATCGTCTGATATTAACAGTGACACCTCTATAGAGTCTGATATTAACAGTAACACCTCCCCTATAGACTGTCCCGCCCTGTGACACCGCAGTCCGGAGTCTCCTGTATCTGCTCCTCAGTCTGTGTCGTGTCTCACATCTCATCACAGCCAATCCTGACATCACAGCCTCACACGTCACACGGAGAGATTGTACATCCGCCCATTTTATTGTGATACCAACACAACACAAAGCAAAATGACATTTCACGATATGAGTTTGTCCCGGGGCTTAAAGGGTTAAATCACAATAACTGGTTACATAAACTTGGTCACTATTCCGGTCAGTTTAGGAGGATGAGGGGTGATCTAATCGAGGATTTTAAAATAATAAAGACATTCGATAGTGTAGATACAGAGAAATTGCAATCCAGAACAAGGGGGGCATCATCTTAATATTAGAGCCGGGGTATTTAGGAGTGAAATTAGGGGTAGTTTTTCACCCAAAGGCCGGTGGGAACCTGGAACTCTCTCCCCCAAAAGGCTGTGGATTATGGTTGGATCCATTCGCACTGTCCAGACGGAGGTGGGGAGATGTTTGTCAGGTCGGGGTGTTAAGGGATACGGGGCAAAGGCCGGTAACTGGGTTTGAGGTACAGATCAGCCGTGATCTTACACAATGGCCGAACAGGCTCGAGGGGCTGAATGGCCTCCTCCTGTTTCTATGATCCTTGAATTTCTGCCCATTAACCCCTGAACCTCTCTCTGATTGATCACCCTCACCCCTGTCAGAGGGTCAGGTCAGTGTCAGGTCGGCGTTAAGGCCAGGGCTGAAGTAAAGGAAGTGTTTCCCAGTGAACATGTGGATGAAAGTGAAAAGATGAGACATGTGGTCGGCGTCGTACAGCGACACCTGTCTTCCCGCATAGTCCAGGTACACTCCCAGCACCTGGGGGGTCACACTCAGGGGGAGGGGGGTAAGAGGTGAGGTTGGAGCTTTATATTACGCACTGTACAGCCCCACAGCCCAGACTCCAGCCTCAGTTCCTTGTGTGAAATTCCCCTTCCTAAGCAAACTCTCGGGCCACCCCCACTATACAGTGTGTGCTGTTCCACACCCCCACCTCCCAGTAACGTCTCCCTGATGTGAACCCCTCAGACCCCAGGTCACTGGGTCAGTAACTGAACCTCTCCGGGGTGTCAGGAACCTGCTGACTCTTACTCGGGTCCGGTCCTCAGACAGGATGAGCCGGGGATGGGCTGTGTTAGGATCCAGAGTCAGAGAGGCTGGAGCTGAAACACAGAATGTTGACATGTTGGAGATCGTGTGGTGAACGGTTGACATTATATTTCAATGGTTCTTTCCGTGAGGTTTGGATTCCTGCTCGGTGTGTCTCAGGTTACACGTGGGACCCAGTAATGTCTGCCTGCCACCCGGGGCCCAGCCACCGCGGGGCTGAGCTCCCAATGATCTTATTCAGCATTCCCGACCGAAGGGATGAGGAATGAGAACAAGACATTTACTGCACATCTATTCCCAGAGTCAAACTCCAATCACAGGAACACAGTAAGAGCCAGTGTTACCTGCAGTGATGCCCTTTAACAGGAGTTTCCACTCTCTGTTCCTCAGAGACCCAATGAGGTCCCTCTCAGCCACATTAACAGACACGTTTGTGGATTTCTTGATGTCAACACCAGACCGGGGCACAGATAGAGATTTGTTTCATTAAATTCAGGCACAATATCGATGACTCAGGTGGAGATTTTCACCATCACCACCATTGTGGAGTCCTGCAGCTGAAGAGTTAGAGCACTCGCTTCACAAGCCAGAAGATCCTGTTTCGATTACCAGGTAGGGCAAAACATTAGGTAAATTTCCTTCCATTACAACTCAGTGCTTTCCTACTGACACCTAGTAAGTAAGAACCAAGTTGTTAGTCGATTAGCAGATCAATTTTCCAGAGGTAATAACCTCTTGATTCCAATTTGTTTGGGACACTGCAATGGGCTGCTGTGTTTCTCCCAGAAAATATACAATCATTTACGGTGTTTTCTATTAAGTGCTTTGCATCAACTCAAAGATCTGATAAAGCACTCTATCAAGTGATAGGATTATTATTATCATCTCAATTCCCTGTAGAATTTGGAAATAGACTGGACAGATATAATGTTCTGGGCTCTCACACCCGTATGTTTCTCTATGACTAATAACACTTTCTGTTACACAAAGGGAATGTCACAAACTAGATGGACAGAAGGAAAGATTACAGACCTGTCAATGATGGATTTGATATCCTGAAAAAGAAATAAAAGTAAGGAGAGTTACAGTCAATCTTGCACACAGCCATCGAGATGAATTTGAACAGCTATGAGGCAGCTTAATGCTATGATTCCTGATAACTCATCACTCCGAGGCAACAGGTCTCAGTGACAAGGTATCAGGAGTGGGCAGTAAGGCATATGTATACATTCATAAATAAATGAGGCCGGGATAGTGACAACGTGATGACGTCAGGGGTCGTGACAAGTTAAGTCAGTGTCGTGTCATCAGCAGTCTACTGTTTCAATGAATTAAAACAAAATTTCTGATCAGTCACAGCTGTTTGTAATAATTCAATCATTTAAGGTCACACAAAATACTTCCCCCTCGTATACATCTCTTTCAAAATTCAGCTTTAACATCCTCACCTGTCTATCTATCACACCAGACACACACCAGCATTAACACACTCACTGTCTGTCTATCACACCAGACACACAGCCTATGCACCTTCAGGAATTCGGTGTTCTGCAGAGTCAGTCTTTTCTGGATTTCTGCTATTCTCTGATTAATAGAAGTAATTTGCTTGGAAATGTGGCTCTTATTGTTTTCTATTTGGCCCACGATGGCCTCCTCCTGCAGTCTGAGTTTGGTGATCAGGTCTCGCTGGTCCTCAGTCAGCAGCTGGTGACGTTTAGCAAATTCAGCGTCGATGTTCTTCCTCAAATGCTCGGCTTGTCTCTGTCACAATAAACACAATGTTAACATTATCCAACCTGTCAGTCACGGTGACATTGCCCATGAACCTGCTGATATCATCCTGAGTGGGAGGGTAGCGAGGTCTCCTGAACTGAATCCAAGGTGACCTGCCTGGCAATGGAATGGCGGCATCAAGCCAGGCCTCTGTGACGGTCTCTTGTCCAGTTCCTGAGCCAGGCCGGTCCACCCTATCCCAGGGCACTGCTGATAAAGGCACAGCCCAGCCTGGCTCATCGGCAGGACCTGGATAGGCAGACGAGTCACTGTGGGCAGTGAGTAAACCCACTCATCTCCTGTTAACCCTGCGATATCAAGCCCTAACCTGTAGGGTGGTCCTGGTTGGAAACAGCGGGAAAGTTTGTCAAACAGCAATATCAATGGGATGGGCTATATCAGAGCTGATATACAAATCCCTCACCTTCACTTCCAGTTGAGTAGCTCCTTCTTCTCTCTGACACCGAGACATTTCATCCAACTGTTTGTGAAGGGTTCCTCGGCTTTCTGCAGCTTTTGCTGAAACAAAGTGAATGTAAGTAAACAGAGAGAAGTGACAGAGTCACTATTACTGGTTTAGGATATTCCACTTGTGTGACAGAGCTGTAATATTCTATTCCACTCGATCAACACAGTCAGATGGTGAGTCCGCTCAGAACTTCTGGATTTACCTAACATGCCGTCAGCAATTCAGCCAACACCAGGGCTTGAGCACACAACCTTCTGACCCAGAGGCCGGCGAGATTGCTGCTCAGTGACCGGCTGTACACAATATCATCTCTTTCCTAATATGTCACATAGAGTGTAACAGCACATTGACAAAGCTTCATCTGCTCGACTAAACTATAGCTTGGTCATCAAACCAATCTTACATATTAAACACCTGGTTCAGTGGATCAGATTGTGGCGTCTGAGTCAGGAGTTTGTGGGACATTGGTGTGTGCAAATAGGCAGCTGTGTTCACAGTCAGGTCACTTTAGGGTTCCATAAACCTGGTCAGTATTCCCTTGAGTTTAAAAGGTTGAGGGGTGATCTGATTGAGGTTTTTAAATTAATAAAGGATTTTGATACAGCAGCTACAGAGACAATATATCTTCTGGTGACAGAACTCAGAAGAAGGGGAATAATATTAGTTAGAAATCTGGAACTCTCGCCCCCAAAATCGGTGGATTAAGACTGAGGTGGATAGAGTTTTGTTAGGTCAGGGTATCAAGGGATATGGGGCAAAGATGGGGATTTATAGTTGATGTACAGATTAGCCATGATCTACCTGAATGGCAAACAGGCTTCAAGCCCTGAATGGTCTCCTTCTGTGCCTATGTTCCTGCTGCTATGTTTATCGCGTATTCTGAGGCACTTTGAGACATACTCACAAAGCGGTGTGAAATGTCAGGATTAATATCAATTCCATACCTTGTGGAGCTCAGCAGCTTCCTTAATGGGAATGACTGTGTGATCCTTGTGATCACGGGACATCGCACAGACCACACAGATCGCTCTTTGATCCGTTTCACAAAACAGTTTCAGCTTCTCCTCATGCTCTTCACACTGGATTCCCACCTCTTCCAGCCTCGGATTCAGGCTCAGTCTCTGAACACTCTCCACAATGTTAGACAGAGTTCTGTTGGGCCAAACACTCCTCTGGGGAATCTGCTGCCTGCACTGCGGACAGGACACACTTTCTTGCCCTGTGCCCCAACACTGTAAAATACAGTTCTGCAGAAGCTGTGGCCACAGTCTACAGTCACCGGATCCGTATAAAACTCCAGACAGATTGAACACGTGGCTTCATTTCTCAGGTTCTCCAGTTCCTGTTCAGACGCCATTTCACCATCAGCTCTTTGCTCTGTTTGGGACTTTCCCCCAAACCAGGACGTGGCTGTGTGGGTGGGGATCACAGACCAACTGCTGTTTGAAGGGACAGACACCTGAAGACAAAAGGAACACAGATGTTTAGCACATTCAGGCCATTCGTAAGGTCACGTCTCAGAATGTTTAATAATAATAATCCTTGCATTTTGATATAGCACTTTATCCTGTCTTCAAGATGTCTAGAAGTGCTTCTTCTCTAATTGAATTTTAATGATTACAACAGTGTAATAATCATAATAGTAATAACCTTTGCTTATTATTTTGTGCCTGATCATATCTTCGAGATGTCTCAAAGCGCTACACAGAATATCAAGTGAATTCACTATGTGTTTTGTTGGCGAAAGGTGAAGACAATTGCACACAGCAGTGTCCCACAGGCAATCGTGGATTGATTGACCAAATTTTATTTGTTTATGAAAAATACTGAAGGATTTTTAAAGGATTATTAGTCCCAGAAAAGTGATCTGTCCACTGACTAACAATCAGGTTTCAACTTACTGCTCAGTAAACAGAGTCATGGGGTAAGGAAACTTGCCAAAGTTTCGACCTCCTGGGAATCGAACCCAACTCCTCTGACAAGTGCTGCAAACATTACCCAAAAGGACCCCACAATAATACAATTCAACTTCATTTGATCAATCAACAGCCAATGAATAAAAGTACACAAAGCATTTAATGAACATCTGAAGCAAATAAAGTCGTGACTACGAACAGAGAGATTGAGAAGCGATCAGTTTCTCTTCTCTGATGTTTCCACAGTCTAAGTCGCTGACTTTTGTTTCTTCGACTTCATTTCATTTCATAAATCAAACCGATATACACAAACTCTCTGTAGATTAGTCACTGCTTTATCTGCTGAATATTGTGTAAACACTATCTGTACTCGAATACAAGAACATGTAGCAATTAAGCAATAGTTAAATATTGTTTAAACACAACAGAGGTTGTAATGGAGTCGGAAACCATGACCTTTCCCCGGGATAGTGTCCTCAGTGTCAGATCTTCTCAGACGCCCCAACAACAGCCGTCAGACGGAGAAGGCCACAGCCTCAGACACCGCTCACCTCAGGGCTGAGAAACAAGCAGCGGGGGACGGGGGACAGACGGGGAGGCGCTGCCCACCAGTGCTCCATCTCTCTCTCTCTCTCTCTCTGCAAAACAGCTGCTCCCGGTCACCAGCAGCTCGAGAAGGTGCGGCCACAACGCCATTTCCCACCAGAAACAAACTGCAGACAAAAGGCAGGAAAACTGGGATTCAGTGACGGGGGGAGACGGCGTTACACACTCACACACACACTCTCTGTCTCTCACTGACCCGATCCCCCATCAGCGCCGAGTTGTCCCGCCTCTCGGGGCCGCTCCCTCCCCGACTGCTCAACTCCTCACCGCCGCCACCATGTCCGCGCTTCTCCTCCTCCTCCAACCGTCACTCTCTCCCCGCCCACTCGCTCCCCATTGGTCCTTTCACAACATCCGGCTATTCGATCAGCATTTCTGATTCGTCATCGCGTCTGTCAATCAGATACTGAGCTGTCATTGCCCCGTTTCCACGTCAATCACCTCCACCCCCCCACCGCCTCGCGCTCTCTGCCCAACCGTCACTCTCTCCCCGCCCTCTCGCTCGCCATTGGCCGCCACGAACACCCGCCTCTCAGTTGGAGCTTCCGATTGCTCAGTCGAGTTGTCAATCAGACACTGGCTGTCAGAGGTCCGTTTCCACGTCAGTCATCTCTCCTCTTCCCCGCCTCGCGCTCTCTGTCCAACTGTCACTTGCCTCCCGCCCACTCGCTCGCCATTGGTCGAGTCCAACACCCGCCTCCTCAAACATCTCGTTCCATTGGTGCGCTGTGTTGTCAATGTGACTGATGGCGCCCTGATAGGCCTCGTGTCCACGTCAATCATCTCCTCCTCCCCCCCCGCCCCGCGCTCCCTGACCAACCGTCACTCTCTTGTCTCCTGTTCCTCCCTTTTCTGAAGTGTCTGAAGAGAACAACAACAACAACAACAACAAGATTCCATTTATAAAGCGCCTTTCACGTCAGGAGGACGTCACAAGGCGCTGCACAGTTGGGTCATGACCCGATCAGGGGGGGAAATGGTCAGGGTGAGGGGAGGGAAGGGAGGGAGCGAGGAGGGGGGAAATGGTCAGGGTGAGGGGAGGGAAGGGAGGGAGCGAGGAGGGGGAAGAGAGTGGAGAGCGGAGCTGAAGGCTGAAGGTCAAAGAGAAAGCTCTTGAGACCGGCCTTGAAGGAGGAAAGGGAGGAAGCGGCGAAGGCACTGGGGGATGGAGTTCCAGAGCGTCGGGGCTGAGAGGCAGAAGGCCCGACCACCGATGGTAGGGCGGTTGGGGCGGGGGATGTGGAGCAGACCGGAGCCAGAGGAACGGAGGGTACGGGCAGGTAGGTAGGGGGATAGTAGGTCAGAGAGGTAGGAGGGAGCGAGGCCGTAGATGGCCTTAAAGGTGAGGATGAGGATCTTGAAATCAATCCTCTGGGGGATGGGGAGCCAGTGGAGGCGAGCGAGGGTGGGTGTGGTGTGGTCGCGGTGTCTGGTGCGGGACAGTACACGAGCTGCAGAGTTCTGAATGACCTGCAGTGTGGAGGGAGGTGGCGGGAACGCCGGCGAGGAGAGAGTTCCCATAGTCCAGCCTTGAGGTGACAAAGGCGTGGACCAGGGTTTCAGCAGCGTGAGGGGTGAGGTAGTGCCGTAGTCTGGCGATGTTCCGGAGGTGATGGAAGGCGGTACCAGTTGTGGTGCGGATGTGAGGGAGAAAGGACAGCTCAGGGTCGAACAAAACGCCGAGGTTCCTGACTGCTTTGAGAGGTGGAGAGTGCAGCCTTGGATGCTGATGGTGTCAGCGCCTGAGGTGCGGAGGCGCTGACATGAGCCAATCAGGAGGGCCTCAGTTTTCCGCACGTTGAGCTGAAGAAAGTTGTCACTTGTCCAGGACTCGATGTCGGACAGGCAGCTGTCAGGACATCGGTGGTCGTGGAGTTGAGAGTAGAGGAGGAAAGGTAGAGTTGGGTGTCATCTGCATACATGTGGATGAAGAACTGATCTCCAGTGGTTACGGGGAAAGACTGGTCAATAAGGGCTGAAGAGCTGTGACTGTCCGGGACGCGGCGATCACCATCGCACACACAGACAAGACTCGTTTCCCTTCATAACAGCCCGCAGAGAGCGCGTGTCTGAGCCCCACAGACCCAACAACAACAACAACAAGAACAAAATGACACTGATATCGAGCGCCTTTCACGGCGGGAGCACATCCCGAGGCGCTGCACAGGCGGTCGGTCAGGACGCCAGTGGTTCTGGTGTTGAGGGTGGGGGCAGAGAGGCGGAGTTGGGTGTCAACCGCGTACAGGTGGGAGTTTACCCCGTGTCTGCGGATGGCGTCAACAAGGGGGGCGCATGCGGACTGTGAAGAGGAGGCGACCGAGGACAGGCCTCCAAGGAACGCCGCACGAGGCGTACGTGCGCGGGGGTGGGAGGGGACGCCGTTTGCTGCGACCAAGTGGAGGCGGTGTGGAAGGCGGGACCTGAACCGGTCAAGGACAGAATGTTGACACACGAGGCAGTGATGGCGTCTGAGCCGCAGGTATTCACTTCAGGATTGAATCAGTTTCAGCGTTGGATTGAAAACACGCGCCGCCATATTCCTCTCCTCTTGGCTGAATTCTCTCTGGGTCACAGCATAAATGCACGAGTTTGTGGCACTGCTTGAAAGCGGAAGCAATCATGGGGACTGATACAGCGCATAGAGATCGGGGGTCTGTCACGTGTGTAAGTATAGTCTGCGACTTTCCCATATATCACAATTATAACACAAGTCATCCAAAGGAACATGAAACTTCTCACTATAGTGAACAACAAAACAATACATTTTTTCCTGTTCTCCGTTTCCGCGTCATTGTTATTCACATTTTTGTTTTATCTGAGAAGACGTTTGCGGATTCTGTTGGCCACCATAATGTGTCTGATGGTTAGTACATTGAAGACCAAAATAAGCAAGTATGGAATGAATGGGGCTAGAATGACATCTACCCAATTAAGTGCTGCCCAAGCAGATGAAGTGTTGAAGGTTTCTTTTAGTTTACAGAACAGCGGAACATTGTTTGTAATGAAAAAAGATTCATACACAAAGAACCAGGGGATGTCGCTCAGACCGCTCAGTACACACACAATACCTATAACCAAGGCTGCCGTTCTCTGGGTGCAATATTGTCTTTTCAGTTTCTCACTGGAATATATCACACAGCAGTCAAATGTGAAAGCGACTGTTAACCAGACAGAGCTGTCAGAAGCTGTGGCAGTCTGAAAGGTCCCGAAAGCACATACAGCAGTCAAATCCAGAAACCCAACAAGAAAAGACAGATAATTAATCCATGTTAATACCACATCACTGATAACCACCAGCAGATCCGCCATTGCCATAGCAATCAGGTAACGAGTGACACAGGTAGAGAGACCAGAATCACAATCGACAGTAAGTTACCTGTAGGATGATAATTATTAGACAGACTCCACATTATTTCTGGCACACACTTATGCTGAAATGTATTTAAACTAGATTGAGAATTCTGCATGTCCATGTCCCATGGAATACATACTCTCTTCCTACAGTAACACACCTCAGTATCAGACACAGTTTGCTGAACAAAAGATTGGGTAACAATTACTGGAGCTTAACCAACTACAACTGCACAGTTTGTCGATTGATTGCATTGCCTGTATGATGTCTATGTTTGTCCAGCTGGTACTGTTCGTGTCTGAGCTTTGGCTTTGCCGTAAATGGCCCGAGTGGGAAGTCTGCCTGACCCTTCCTAATATGCTGGTAATGATTGAGGTCTGTATTACTGCAGACCCATGTGGATCAGGATTCGAACGAGAGGGTTTGAACAGTGCCACACGGTGTTGACCCCATTCCGTCAATCTGTTGCCAATCACATCCTCTTGGGGCCAGTTCAAGGAAAGCCCGCTTTACCTTCCCCCCAAGTACAATTAGCAAAGTGGTCATTTGACATCCAACAAGTCCACGGCCGAGCGCTAAGTAGGTGGGTGGCAATCACAAGGAACACCCTGTGAGCGACCTGATGGATAGCACAACTCAACGGGAAACACATGAGAGCTTTGGTACCATTTTCCTCCCCACATCTCAAACACACACATTGAATCATGCTGCCACCATTCGGTAGTGCGGAGCTTGAGCATCAGCTGCTTACCTTGAATGTAAGTATTTAAAGGACTGCAGAGCTAAGTTTAAATAACTAGCCTTTCCTCAAACCTCTTGTATATTCAAGCAATTACAAATACATGAGTGGGTTTACACCAATATAATGGAATAGGTGAGGCAGAAACATTGGGGGTAAACTATGCGATGTTGATTGACATCTTTTGTTGTGATAATCACATCAACGTGGCTCAGTTGGTTCCACTCTTGCCTCTCAGTTCTGAGGTGGTGATTTGAAGCCCACGCAAGGCTTTCAACACGTTGATCAGACTGAAACTCCAGTGCGTTGGTAGGTGAGCACTGCATTGTCAGAAAGTTTGTCGTTCAGGTGAGGTGGTAAATTGTCCTGCAGTTTGTGCTCTTTAACATTTTATTGCACATGATACGCACCTTCTAAATTAAGTTACAATCAAACTGAAGTTAATAAATCAGACTTGCTAAATTGTCATTAGTATAAGGGAGCATTAAAATCTGATTAAAAGATCAACAAAATATTTGATGGCTTACCAAGCACACCAATGATGGCAAGAATAGGATAGAAAATGTACATAATCTGGAAAATGATTTCTGTCTAATACACCTTTTCTGAGAAGCTGTGACATTTCTTCACTGTCACGGACGTGATGTGGACAGGCACTGATGCATCGAGTGAAGCCTCATTTATACAGTTTAGTGTCATCAGCAAATGTAACTATCTTGCACTGCGCTCTGTCATTGCAAATCATTAATATGTATGTGGAGTCCTGTAGCTCAGTGGTTAGAGCACTCGCTTTGCAAGTGAGAGACCTGAGTTCAATTCCAGGCAGGGCGAAACCTTGGGCAAGTTTCCTTACTCCACACGCCTAATAATAATCCCTCCAAAACCAAAAAAAACAATAATTAAATTGGTCATTTTCAATCTACGACTGTTTGTGGGACATTGCTGTGCGCAATTGGCTGCCGCGTTCGCCCACAAATATACAGTCAATTCACTTTACAGTGTGTTCTGTGAAGCGCTTTGGGACGTCCTCCTGACGTGAAAAGCGCTATATCAAATGCAAGGATTATTATTATTATTATTATTATTACAAGTAATGAAAGGTTCTTAGTATAACTCAACTTAATACCTTTCCCGATTTCTACCAGCTCACATTAAAAAGACACTTGGCATCATATTTTTGAGACAATTCTGAATCCATGTCCATATCTTACCCTGACCACAGTTTGTAAAGAATTCTTTCATGA